TCCCACTCCTGGCTCCTCCTAAGTCCACAGCTCCACCCACTCCCACTGCTGGCTCCTCCCAGGCCCACAGCTCCACCCACTCCCACTCCTGGCTCCTCCCAGGCCCACAGCTCCACCCACTCCCACTCCTGGCTCCTCCTAAGTCCACAGCTCCACCCACTCCCACTGCTGGCTCCTCCCAGGCCCACAGCTCCACCCACTCCCACTCCTGGCTCCTCCCAGGCCCACAGCTCCACCCACTCCCACTCCTGGCTCCTCCCAGGCAAATGGCTCCACCCACTCCCCCTGCTGGCTCCTCCCAGGCCCAGGGCTCCACTCATTCCTGCTACTTCAATTAGCACTCTGGCTCCCCCACCCCTGCTGCCCCAACTCTGGGTTCAAGGTTGGCCCTGCCTCCCCTCCTGAGGCCCACCCCTGCCTGCACTGTGGCCTGTGCTCAGCTCCCACTCCAGGAGCATCACCATCAACCTTGGTGGTAGGGCCCAGTGCTCCTGCCCCCCAGGTGGCCACCCCACCTTCCAAGTGCCCCTCACCCCACTGCCCGCCTTCCTGATGTGTCCCTGGCCAGTGCTGTGACCCAGGCTCACCTGTGCCTTCCAGGGGACCTGGAGGCTGGTTCCCCTGCAGCCCAGGGCTGCCCATCTGACCATGGGCTGAGGGCTCACCTGAGAGGAAGGGATGGGCCAGGAGCAAGGGTTGAGGTAGCCATGGGAGGGCTCCTGGACATGGGGAGGAGTGCTAGGGAGGTGGGTGAGAGCGGTGGGATGGGGGTGCAGGTCATGGCACGGTTCTGTGTGGAAGGGAAGACGGGTGCCTGGGCAGGGCAGCAGGTGCAGGCGAGTGCTCAAAGCTCAGGAGAGCAGCACCTTGGGTCCCTGAGCCCTAAGTGGGGCTATCTTGTGGCCAGAGCAGAGGGACCTCAGAGCTCCTGGGAAAGATGGGACCTGTGGCTCCCCCCAGTTCCCTGAGACACCGTCAGGTTCAAGGGCAGAATTCAGCCAACTGCTCACAAAGGGGAGACCCCCAGAGGCACAAACCCCCGAACCAGGGACCAGCCCTGACTTTACCTCAGGGCTGGGAACCCAGTACCTCGGCCCTCAGTGTGGTGTCCCCCACGCCCCTGTTCTCCAGGAAGCAGGGCTTTGTTGAGCCTGTTGGGTGACCCTGGGGGGCCATGCCCTCCTGGCTTCACGGCCTCCACCAAGATGGGCATCGGGGGCCTGGTGCTTCCGTGGAAGGAGGACTGCAGTCTCAGCACATGTGCTGGGGAGGGGGGGCAGACCATGAGGGGGAGCTGGGGAGGAGGGGTGGGGCAGGCCATGAGTAGGAGGTGAGGACGGGTGGTAGGGCTCACTCACCCTGGATGGCCGACTCACAGGCCTGGCTCACCAGCTGGAAGATGGTGGCCAGGGACTGAGGTTCGCCCTGGAAGGAGGACATGGCTTTGGGACCCCAACTAGTGCCGCCCAGGAAGGCCCAATAGCAGGAGCTGAGCTGAAGACCCCAGGCTTTCAGCCTCACCCACCTTCTCTCCTGGCTCCCCTTTGGGCCCGGGCAACCCCTGCAGCAGGAGGCACGGAGGGAACAGGCAGTCAGGAGAGGAGAGCAGCTTGGTGCCACACGTGCAGACAGTGCCTGGGCACTGTGGCCCAAGCTGAATCCCCAGACCCTGGGAGCGGCCACACAGGGAAGGCAACTGGGCTTTTTGTCCTGCCGCGGGACGGTCCTCAAGTGGGCTGGAACTGTGCTGCAAAGGACCTGCCCTGGCTGTGGCCTTAGTGCTGGGGATGGGGCCCTAACAACCGGAAGCTGCTGGAGCAGGCCTCAGCTGGAGCGCCTGCCCACCACCCTCTTCCCCCAGCTCACCAGGCCCTGGAGCCCTCCCAAGGGACCTGTGGGGCTGCCTCGGCCTCCAAATAAGGTGGGCCGCAGCAGCTCCCCAGGGGTGAGGGCCCCCTGAGAGAGGGCTGCTGCTCTGTTCTCTTCTCCCTGAGTGTGGCCCCAAGGCCAGGGAAGGGCAGAACCAGCCCAGCTCTACTGGCTCCACACAGGCTCCAAGTGAGGAGCAGGCCAGCCTCCCACAGGAAGTCCTGAGCTTGGACACCTGGACAGGCTGTGCTTGAGCCCCCCAGCTGACTGGCGGGTGGTGGGAACTTACTATAGGCCCCACGGCTCCTGGAGGCCCTCGTTCCCCGTTGGTGCCCCTGGCCCCTACCAAGCCCTGGAAGCCCTGCAGAGATGCAGAAGACAGGGTTTGCCTGGCACCCCCAGCGAATCTGCCCACCTCTGTCCTGGCTCCCAAACAACGGTGTCCCCAGCCCCACTGCCTGGTAGAGGCCATAGCCCTTAGCTCCACCCCCCTGCCCTCAAGTTTCGACACTTCCCCTAACTGGCCCAGTTCTGCCCCCAACCTGGCACCCAGGAAAGCCTCACCTCGTGCCTAGGCAGACCCCCGTGCCCCTCACCCAGCTGTCTATCAGTTCCCTGATGCACTCCAGAAACTGGAGGACAACCACTCCACAGAGGGGGTCCTTGTGGGAGAGCCCAGCAGTGTTTCAGCAGCTAGCCTGAGACTGCCCCTCAGGGGTCTCCCAGGCACTGAGTTCACAGCAAAGACCCCCTGGGAGGTTCGACCCAGGAGAGAAGGTCCTTTCAGGGCCAGGGAGCCCCAGGTTGCCTTTGCTGATCTGGCTGCTGGGAAGTCTGCCCAGAGGGACAGGGGGCCTGGGGCCGGTTCCTACAGCCAGCCTAGCCTACCCATCCCTAGCAGGCCCAACCAGGAGCCCTGGTGACCCCTGTCCTGTGGCGTTGGGCGGAGAAGGGGGTGGGTCTGCATCTCTGCCACAGGTAAGGAAGGCCCCTGTGGTGGCTGCTTCGTGCAGGAGAGAAGCCCCCTCCAGGTCACCTCTTGGGTCGGCCTGGTCAGGAGCCAGAAGTGTTCAATCCCTTCTTCCCAAACTGGCCCTGCCCAGCTCCCAGGACCTCAGCATTCTGGGTGAGGGCTTGTGGAGGAGGTGACGCCTACCCTGGGGCCAGGGGGGCCAGGCTGGCCAGCAGGTCCCTCTAGTCCTCTCATTCCCTGAAGGGCAAAGGCAGGGTGAGCTGGGGTGTGGCTTGTGCCCACACCTCCTCCCATGGGAACAGCCCCACAGCAGCAGCAGCAGCAGCCTGCACGCCAGGTGAGCCACACCAAGGCAGCGGGACTCGCACCTGCCCCGGAGAGAGCCAAGCTGCTGCCCCCACCTGACCCTGGTATGGGCTGGGGCCCCACCCTCCTGCCCCCGCACCCCAGCCTCCATCTCCAAGACCTTCCCAGGCTCTCTTCTCTCCCAGTGCACACACCTTCCGGCCCAGAACAAGTACCTTTGGTCCCTGGAGGCCAACTCTCCCAGGGGTGCCTTGCTGGCCAGGGTAGCCCTGGAAGGGAACAGAGGTGGCCGGCCAGGCAGGGGCAAAGGTTATACCCAGAGGAGGAGGTCAGCCCAAGGCCCTGCCCAGCCACAGCCCAGCCCATACTACCTGTAAGCCTGGGAGTCCCTGGTCTCCCTTCTCTCCTTTTGACCCTGGTGGACCCTGGAGGGGAAGGTGAACTGGGTAGCAGAGGGAAGAGTGGAGGGGAGGTGGGTGGGGGTGGGGTACACCTACCACAGGTCCCTGGACTGTGTGGCCCTGGGTCCCTGGTGACCCCTGCTGACCTCCAGGGCCCTCAGGTCCTGTCTGTCCAGGTGGCCCTGGCTCTCCCTGGAAACACAGGCAGGGGGCTTGGGCTGAGAAGGCATGCTTCCTGACCAGCCCAGACCCAGGCCACACAGGCCCCTCCACTAGAGGGTCAGAAGCACCCTGATGCCCTCATGCTCCCCTGGGTGGGTCCCCATACAGCTCTGTCTACAAGCGCAAACCGCGGAGGTCGCTTCTCCAGGACCACAGACACAGAGGGGAGCCAAGCCAGTTCTGTGCACCTGCTCCCTGGCCTCCCAACCCAGGCAGCTGGAGCCTGAAGCCAATCACAACAGCCAATCACATCACCAGGGCGAAGCCAGAGAGCGCAGCAGCCAACTGCAAAGGAGAGGTGGGAGACCTGCCCAGGCTCTGAACCCCTCAGGGGCCCTCTGGTCTGGGAGTCCCATCTTGGACACGTGGCCCCAATGGGCAGGGGCACCCTTTCAAATTACTTTTTGAATTAGCATATGAATGTTCCACATTCTACTAAGCAGACTGCGTGGCCTTGTCATGAGTATCAATGCACAAAAGTAAACACAGGGTCAGAGAGAGAACATAAGCTGGTGGTGAGGACCCAGAGCCCAGCTGGCTTCATCCAGCGACATCACAAAACAAATAACACACACCTCCCAGAGAAAAGTGTCTGACAGTGCCCATGACTACTGTGCAAGCACCACATAGCATCTCATGTCCACTCTTGATTTTCAAATCTCACAATAAATTTGAGTAAATGGACTTTACTATCACATGAAAAAATACATGCGGGCTTTCACATGCACTCTGCACTGGACTGTGCAGCCCTGGGTCCCCCAGCGCCAGGAGGAAGCTGAGACACCTGCACACCACTGGGTGGGCTTCTGCAGCGCTCACCAATACCACTAGGCAAGAACAGAAGTGAGAGTCAAGAAAAACCACCTGAAAACCAAGAATCACACAGACAATCCATTCAGAAAGCTGGATAGGAAAATGTTGCTCAGAGACGACGGCCCTGCAGAAACCACCAGGCAGACACTGCGAGAGGGAAGGGCCTGGTGACAGCTGTGACGAAAAGATGCAAGGTTTGGGGTGAGCTAGAACCCAGGCCAGATAAGCCACTTCTTGAAAGTCTCGTGGAGAGTCACAAAAGAAACCTGGACAACAGAAGGATGCCAAGTTCCTGGGCAAGATTCAAATGATAAAAATGCTACTTGTTCCAGGCACGATGGTGCACACCTATAATCCCAGCAGCTCGGGAGGCTGAGGCAGGAGGATCATGAGTTCAAACCCAGCCTCAACAATTTAGGAGGCCCTAAGCAACTTAGAGAGACTCTGTCTTAAAATAAAATATAAAAAGGGCTAGGGTGTGGCTCAGTGGTAAAAGTGGGCTCAATCCCTAGTACCAAAAAAAAAAAAAAGGAGAAAAAAAAAAGTAACATCTGTGTGAAAACACTTGTCACAAACAAGGCCAAAGGACACAGTTGTGACTCCTTCGCAGAGTGAGGCTGGCGCACAGTATGTGAAGCACCCATGAAGAAACAAGCCAGCGGCACCCTGGAGCCAGGGCATGCTTCCCACAGGAAAGGCTGCCTGCTGCAGACATGAGGGACAGGGACGCAAGGTGGCAGCCACTTTGTCAGCCAGGCACCCTGGGTGCACCCCTGCTCTACAGAGGCTGCTCCGCCTCGCCTGGCCTCCAGGGGGCAGTGTGGCTTTCTATACCCAAGCTCTGTGCTCTTGCCCAGCACCAGGCCCACGTGGTTGGTGGTACACAGGGCTAGACATGGGCCGTGGAGGTTCACGACCTCCCCCTTCTGATGCAAGCTGGCTACCATCTGCGGCGCATGCTCATTGGGAGGACCGGGCCAGCCTGCCAGGACACTCTGCCAAGGCAGGTGCAGGGTGGGACGCAGGGTGTGGGGCTGGGGGGAGGCAGCCTCTCAGCCCCTGCGCACTGAACATTCTGAACATCTCAGAGCCCATCTCAGAGCCAAGCCACACAGGTGTGGTGCTGTCACTGGGGCACCATCTTCGGCCTCCTCTGCAGAGCCAGACCCTGCCAGACACCCACAGAGCCTGCGACAGCACCAGTGTGTGGGGCCAAACAAGTCTGTACTTGTGGCACCTACGCCCCCTTGTTCCAGAGGCCTTTGGCAAGTGTCTGTAGAAGGAAATAGAAGGCGGCCTTCAGAGCCAGACAGGCCTGGGCCCACCAACTGGGCAGGGGCCTCACCTCCCAAGTCTGCTTCCTCGTCTGTGTCATGAGCTGACCCTACCCGTGGGGACAGTGAAGAGGGAATGCTCACTAAGTAGCAAGATCAGGTCCAGGTGGCCCATAGGTGACAGGAGAGGCCAGGCCAACCCCCGAATTGGGGACCGGGCCTGTCTGCAGCTCAGGGAACCCTCTCTCTATAGGAGAGGGTGACATGAACTGCTGCTGAGTTAAGATCCAGACAGCCCCTGGGCCTCACAGACTTACCCTGGGCCCAGGGAGGCCCTGTCCTCCTGGGGTGCCATTCCTCCCAGGGAGGCCCTGCAACAGCACAAGTAGGGCTGAGTCCCCAGTCCTACCCCAACCCCGAGCCCCACCCAGGCTCCACCCAACCCCGAGCCCCACCCAGCCCTGCGCCCCTGTCTACATCATTGGGCACAGGCTGGATCAGGAGTCTCTGGATCCAACCCTAGCCCCGTATGCAACTAGATCTGCCCAACACCGTCCTGAAGAAGTGCTCCTGACAGAGGTCTGGGGCCTCTCAAGCCATGCCCCACGGGAGCGCCTGCCTCCTGCAGGTGAGCTGAATACCAACCTGGGGCAGCCAGAACAGAGCCACCTGGAGGCTGACCCTCACAGCTAGCCACGTCATACCCCACCAGCCACCACCAGCAGGTCCCTGGAGACAGGGGACATTCAGGAAATGCCTGAAGAGGGGTTCGTGCCTGACATGGCAGGAGGATCAGGGCTTGGGGAGGGAAGCCCAGCCAGTGGGAGAAAGGGCTTGGCCACGGCTGGGCTCGTGGCCTGGAGTGACACAGCAGAGGCGACAGATGAAGGGCGTCCCTCTGTGGGCAGGCCTCGAGTCCTGCTGGTTAATGGTGCCACACCCCAGGGCTATGCCTTGGCCTGGAGTTTCAGTCACCCCCAGAGTAGAGGCTACTGGACTCACTGGAGGGCCTTGAGGTCCTGGGGGCCCGGGAGTCTCTGAAGAGCAGGTGCAGGCAGAAGGGAAGGCAGGGCATGTCTCTCCGTCCCTCTGGAAGAAAGGAGACTGCTCATTCATGGACCCTCTCCTGGCCCTCATCTGACCCTGGGGCTGAGCACGGAAAAGACGCCTGACTCCAGGGAAACACTCTGTGTGGGGCACGGCGGGGACAGAAATGCAACAAGGTAGGTCTGGACTCAGGCCACTGAGTCCCTCTAAGAGCAGCTGGGTCCTGGGTGCCTCCTCCCAGGTGCCCATACAGACCCCAGGCAGGTGGGTAGCTTCCTCCCACTCCCCTCCGAGGCCCCCAGAATAGACAAGGCCAGTACCGGGCACTGAGGGGACCTGCAAAGGCCCTGCATGTGGCTTTGGGTGTAGGGTTCCTGCAGGCCCGGGAGACCTCCACCTTGCTAGATGAGGACTCCTGGCCCGCCTGCACCTTGCTGGGCCTACCGAGAAGGGGAGCAGGCTCCAACAGAACCACTGCAGTAGGGGCTTCCTGGCCTGCCCCCAGCATCTGTCCTACCCAACCACCCTGGTCCCCAAAGGCCACCTCCTCCAGGAAGCTTTCCCTGATCTCCCACAGCACAAGCTTAGGCCTGTCTACCTGAGCCTCTGTGACGTGTGGGGTGGACACACTCAAGGCTGGGATGGTACCCAGAGCCTCACGGCCACCTACCAATGCAGGAAGCTCACAGCACTTGTCCTCATCTGCCCAGGTGTCACCACACACAATCTGCAGCATCTGAAGCTGGAACTATGGAGCAGGGGCATCAGCCAGATGCAGGTCCCTGGAGACAGCCCTCACCAGACCAGCAGGACAAAGACCAGGCTCACCGTAGCTGAGCTGCTCCGGGGACCCCTGGCCTTGGCCAGCCTCCCCAGCATGACAAAGCCAGAGGTGGGTGAGCTAGCCTCTCCGATGGGCCTCTCAGCCACCTTCTGGCAGTCCACATACAGTCTGACCTTGGAGTGTCCCACAGCCACATGCACCTGTAGATGTTGCAGGGTCAGCACCTGCCTAGCTGCCAGGCCAAGGTGTCAGAATAGGTGGAACAAGAGTCGCCCACCTGGGACCTGGGCAGGGTCCTGATGGTACCCACATCCCATGTGACTTCAAGGGCAATTCCCAAAGCAGGTGCCTCCCAAAGAGAAGGGCTAGAGTGCACTTTGACCCAAATTAAAATAGGGCCACTGAAACAAAGGGACGTCAGGGTCAGAGGACCTAGGTGGGTTATCGCCTGACTTTCAGGGACTTGTGCTGGTGCTCCAGGGCAGGCAGCTGCACATGGGGACAGCTGGCAAGCGGGACGGGGCCCGTACAGCTGAGTAGAGTTCCCAGGACCTTGTGGTAGCTCCCGAAGAAGATCTTCTTCACCTCCTGCAGGTCGAAAGTGGCCACCTGCAAGGCAGCTCTGGGGTCATGGTTGAAGTAGGTCAGCGACTTTCTGCCAGCTGCCAGGGTGAGGTGAGCAGCAGGTAAGCGTCTGTCCTACCCAACCACCCTGGTCCCAAATGATGGGAAAGGACAGACTGTGAGAGCTGCAGGACCCAAGGCCATGCCCAGGACCCTGGCAGGTCTCCACCGTGAAGGGCAGGGGGGCAGCTCTGAGGAAGCTCAGGACACCTGGCTCTTGCTTAGGGTGGGCACTAAAGAAAGGGTGAAGCCCGGGCTCCCATTCCTCCCAACTGCCGAGGGTGACCCGGGGCCCCAGTCACCATCCAGAAGAACCCCGAGGATGGGCTGAAAGTCTTCAGCCGTCATCTGCCACAGCGCAAAGGCTTCGCGGGGTGTCTCGGGGAGCAGGCGCCCAAGGAAGACAATGGTGTGCTCAGGCGGCAGGGCCACTGGGTGGATGTCGCTGGAGGCATGGGAGGGGGCGTGAGCAGAATGGAGAGTGGCTGGGCTTGGACCAGGCCTCCCAGGCACAGGCCCCCTGCAGCCCCAGCCTCACCCTGGCGCGGCTCTGCTGATCATGGTGGAGCCTGCATGCACAGCCTTCCCAGCTGTGGACGGAGTGTGGCAACCGTCTGTACCCCAGAACACAGACTGGGGGTACGTACGGCCATGGTCTAAAGGCCAAGCTGGGGTCTCCCCTGCCTCAGTGTCCCCAGGAGTAACATGGGGTATGTAAAGGACAGAATTCCCTCCAAGAAGCTTCAAGGCACCTGGCCTGACACAGCCCTCTACCTCCCCTGAGGCCTGGCCAGTGAAGGTCACCTAGAAGGGGCTCACCCAGGCCCTGTGCTTCAGGGTCCCTGTGTGGCAGAAGACCCACCAGGAGAATCCACAGGTCACTCCCGAGGGCCGGGAGCCCACAGGCACATAGGCAGCGCTGCCCTCAGGAGTCGGCCCACTGACCACAGCTGTCTTAGTGCTCAGACTGGGGGCTCCTGGCCAGGACCCATGCAGACCCAGGTGCACTGAGGGGCAGGGGAGGGGTCTCTGGTCACACAATAGAAGTGCTCCCCAGAGCCTGCAGCCTCCTACCTGGCCTTCACGTGCTCTTGGGATAAAAACCAGGGGCTGGGAAGACCCAGCCCCACCACTTCCTGCAAGGCTTTAAGCACCCTGACCCCAGGGCCGTGGCACGGCTGCTCCTTCCTCCTGAGCCGTCCCCCACTCTCTGCCGGTGGCTCTTGTCTGCTGCCTCCTTGGGGACCTTCCTGACCGCACCACGAGAAGGTGGGGGCCTGAGGCCCTCAGTGCAGCTGCCATGGTGCAGCTGCATCTGTGCTGGGTAAGCACACCTGGGAAACCTCTGTCCCCTTCTGGAGCTCAAAAAGGAGAGCAGGCAGCACCGGAGCACCATGTACCCTGCAGGCTGGTGGCCGGCACCTGAGACGGGTGACTGAGGAATGGTGGCTGGGATGCCGAACACCTTGCAAGGTGGGGCCAGAGGCAGGGGGTGGAGACCAGGGCTCCAGGCAGTGGGAGCATCCCACCTGCCCACCCAGCAGAACAGCCGTGACAGCCCAGACGGGAGGAATGGGGCCACCGCTTCTGCAGCAGCACTTCCACACCACCCTACGAAGAAAATGGGGGCAAAAGGGGGCAGGTGTCAGCGACCATGCTCCAGAGAAGACACACAAATGGCCAGCAGGCAGAGGAACAAGTGCCCAGCATCGCTGATCATCTGAGAAGCGCAGGTCAAAGCCACCCCTGAGGCAAAACAGCTGTTACCCAGACAGCAAGGTCAGTGCTGGGGGGAGGGGCTGCACAGGGTGGGACGGTGCTGAGCGGCCACGGCCACGGGGCAGCAGGGGGAGCTGCTGTCCCCACAGGTCCAGAGCAGGTGAAGTCGGGGTACAGAGGATCCCGCCCTCCATGGTCACTGTAGCACCACCCACAACAGGGGAGCCACCCAAGTGTCCACCTGCTGAGGACAGAGAAGGACACATGGGATTAGACCCAGAGAAAGGCTGATGGCCACAGGGAAGAAGGGGCCTGCCATCCGTTCGCAGCAACCTGGGGAAGTGAGGTGGTCTCTCTCCTGCGGCAGCTATAGCAGTGGCTCTAGAGGCAGAGGGCGAGTGCTGGCTACCACATCCACGCCGCAGGAGAGCCACGCGATCACGGGAGAAGAGAGGTGTGTCTCCTCCGCAACGCGGTGAGAGCGTTGGAAGGCGTGAGGGGGCAGGAGTGCCTACTGGACCCAAAGACCTCACAACTGTGCTTGTATGGAAACACCACACCATGCCCCGTTAACAGGCACCATGTTTATGTGTCCATGCATCCATTTAAAGCATATTTAAATCTAAAATAAAATGTGGTTATTTAAAAAAACAGTGGTGCAGTGGCATGTGCCTACAATCTTGGGAGGCTGATGGCAGCCTAGTGAGACTCTGTCCCAAATAAAAACAAAAAGGGGCTGGGGATGTGGCTCAGTGGTAGAGCACCCCTGGGTTCCACTCCTAGAATCACAAAAATAAAAATAAAAGGATAAAAGAACAGACCACCCCTGAAGGAGATGCCTCTAGCGCGAGCACAGCAACAGGAGGCGGCGCTGCCCGTGGTGGATAGCTGTGCCACGAGGCCCAGGGACCTGGCATCTCCAGACAGTGCTACCCTGATGCAGCCTCTCTAACCTCTTCACTGGGCCCCCAGGCTGGCTGCAACCTGCACCTGTGTGGCCCAGAAAGCAGGGACCTGGAGAAGCCTCCCGGCCCTTCTGGCCACCTGCTCAGGGCCACGGGCCCCAGTGCCCCTGCATGCCTCAGTTAGACCCTACTGGTAATTTCTGGCACGTGGCCCTGTCAGTCCTTTGGGGATCTGGGAAGTCAGCGCCTGCTCTTGCTGTTACCATGCCACGTGCACCGCAGTGCAGGTCTGTGACTCAAGGTGTTGGGGTAAAGGGGGACCACACGCCCTCTACAGCTGCTAACCTGGCAGGCAAAGGCAGTCAGCATCGTGGACCATGTTCAGGATGCAGCTAGGGGACCAGTCCCCAGGCCAGGTGGGGAAAGACACATGCATGGCTGCAGATCATGCTGAGGGGCAGGCCCCATTCCACACGAGATCTGCTGACTGTGAGATGGGAATTTCTAGCACACAGGTGAAACCAGTCGGCAGTGTGATGAAGAGATGCCAGGGCCAATAGGCTCTGGGAGCCAGGGATGTGGTCAGTCTCCTTCTTGTGCCCACCTCTGCCCACCTGACTTCCCACAGCCCCACTTGCAGTTCCAGCCCCATTGGCCCCTCATACCTAGTCCGCCGTGTCAGCTGGGCATCCTTGAAGAGTGTGAAGGTCGGGGTCAGGCCCAAGGCTGAGGGTTCCATGGCCACACCTCGAATAGAGGCGTGCTCCTTCTCCACCAGGCCAAAGGCTGCCATCAAGTCAAATCCTGGTGGACAGGGAAAGATGACAGGCTGGAGCAGAGGTCCAGACTGAAAGGTGAGGCAGGAGAAGGGGCTGTGCTGAGAAGGGGTGGCCTGGCTGCGGGAGCTGGAGAGCAAGGGTCTGGGGCAGCCTCTGGGTCAGCACCACCTTGGCCCCTTGGGAGAATCCAGCCCCTCGCTCTCCATGCCCACCCCTACCCCAGACCATGACTCCTCTTTCCCTGGCTAACTGTTTCAGTGTGGGAGGCCCAGAGATGGAAGAGGTGGGACCAGTGGCACACAGCCCCAACCATGACCCTAACTCCCATCTCCCCCAACAAGCAGAGCCCTAGCACCCACACCACCCCACCCAGCCTCCAAGTTTGTTTTCCTCTCCAAGAAGGGCCTTGCTGAGTTCCGCTTGTCCAGCACCACAGCCATACATGGTCCCTTCTGCTGCACATGGCCTGAGGACCCTCCAGGCCCCTGATCTTTCAGGGCTGGGCCATGCCCTGAGCCAGCAGAGTCATGGGAACCTGGGCAGGTCCTCAATGCAGCTGGTCCTTCTTGGGCACGAAGTATGGGGTGAATCTCACCTTATGCTGGGCGCTAATCAGTGCATGGCTGACTAGCAGCCCCAAGCAGGAGGCCAGCAGAGGCTCCAGCTCTTTCAAGGTTGCAGTCTCTCCTGCCTGCCATCCACTGGCCCTGCAGGCCCAACAGTGGGCCCAGGGCAGCCACAGCCTGCCCCCCAGGTGGACGCCCAGCCTTCACATGGCTTAGCACATCTGCCTGCCACCGTCTCCCTGCTGGCAGAGTTCCCTGGCCATGTTCCTGAAGCCAAGCATCTACTCTCTGAGGAGGACCTCAGCCTCGTGAAACATGAATGAGGACCCCTCAGGCTTGGCCCACAGAGGCCAGAAAAGCCTAGACTCAGCTTTGCTTCTGCCCTGCACAAGCTGCCACCGACCTGGGCCAGCCTCTGCTCCCTTGTGAAACAGGAATGGAACTGCCCTGCCAACCTCAGGGGGCCATCCGAGAAGGTGCAGTCTGCACCCGAAATCCTATGGTGGGTCTCCAGTGGGTCTCCCTCAACCCCCATTCCTCAGAAAGAGCCTGAGAGAAGCAGGGTAGAGTGCACTGGCCACAGGTGTGCAGGACCTACCTGGGAGGGAGCTGTCCAGGTGGAGGGTGGGGCAGGCTGCTGCAAGGAGACAGAGGGTCATGAGCCACCTCAGCCTGACCAAGTCACCAGGGAGCAGCCGCTGCATGATGACACCCTGATCTCTCTTGTGGACACAGGTGGTCTGTGCTGCATCTCCACCTGCCTGCCCCCTTACTGCACTGAAGGCCTGTGGTACCCGTCCCTCTAGGAAAGGGACAGGGTAGTCCTGCCACCTCTAGATCTCACTGAGTGAGCAAGCGCTCCACTCTCCCTGCAGGGCCCAGGGCCAAAGCTAAGGGCTTCTCTGGGTGCAGCACCCTGAGAGGGTGCTGGCTCTAGCTGCAGGCCCAGGAGATGTTGGGTGTGAGGCAATCAGACTCAGGAACACAGGTCGCTCTGGGGCTAGTTCCAGGGCAGGTGTGGGTGAAGGAAGCATGTCCACTGAGTAATGAGGATTCTGCCCCTTGGGCATTCAAGCCACAACTAGATGATCCTGCAGAGATGCCAGGGGGGAGTTGAGGTGAGGGACTGCATGGCCATTGAGGCCATCTGCTCCAAGCAGCTGTAGCTGACCAAGAAAACCAGTGCAAAATAATAGCAAGAAAGGACTCTTCTTGGCTAGGTCCTGGCCATGCTCTTGGGGGGTTCCAGGCCCAGTGGAGACATGTCCATGTCCTAAATGCTTCAAGGCAAGGTCAGCCCTGACTCCCGGGCTGCTCTTTCATGTAACTGGCCTCCTTCATGTCTGTGCTCAGCATCCCGCTCACTCTGCCCCTTCACATCCCAGACACCCCAGTACCAGCCAGTCCTGACGGCACCAGCAGCTGAGGCCAGAGTGGGAGTGCTGACTGCAAGACCTGCAGAGCTCCGTTCTGACTGTTGTGCTCTAACCTGAATCAGGTCATCATTTTAGAATGAGATGGCTTCTCAAGGTCACCTCCATCTCCCTTCTGGGGTCTGGCTAGATCTGGGTCTGTCTGGGTCTGGGGTCTTGGTGCCCACTTACCTGTCCAGCCCATGGCAGACACTGCCACACTCTCCCCTGCTCCATAGACAGCTGAGACCAGGACCTTGTACTTGGTGGCAGCTAGCAAGTCAGAGAGCACGGTGTGGTTCCTGGGCCCTGGCACAGAGATCTGAGGGGCAGGAGTCACCTAAGTGGGCTCCTCCTGGAGGCTTGGCTTTTTTCTGTCTGAGGCCACCCTCAGCACACAGGGTGGGCCACATTTCACCCACTGACCTCCCCCACCCTAGAAGGTCCCTCGTTGGGTGGCTGCTGCTCTCCACAGACTTACTGATTGATCAGGTCTGGAGCCTGTGGCAGGCGTGTAGGTGAGCCGGTAGTGGAGAACATGGCCACTTGGGGGTGTCCAGCTGACCCGAAGGCTGTTGGGAGTCTCCGAGGACAGAGCCAGGCTGGAGGGGGGACTTCTGCTTGCTGCAGCTAGCAACAGCAGAGGCAGTGTGGGGCTCAGGGCCCTCCACAAGGGGCCACTCTGCAGGCAGGGGACCTAACCTGTGCTGAACTGGGCACTCTGCTTCCCAACCTGCACCATGCCCCCATCGCTGCACCATGCCCCCAGTGCCACACCACATCCCCAGTGACACACCACGCCCCCTTGCCACACCACACCCCCAGTGCCGCCCTAGGCTTCCCAGTGCGGCACTCAGACATCAGCCCCCACAGCAGGTCCTGCTGTCCCAGCACAGAGCTATCACCCATGCCTGGTGATATGGACCCTTGGTCAACTCTGGAACACCTGTCCTCCACAGGAGCTCACTGAAGCCCCACAACTGCCAGCATTCAGGCCCAGAGGTCAGGGACTTTTAGACTCTGCCTGCCAGTGGTTTGGGGTCTGAAGTCTCAGGGGAGTCTGGGTTCTCCTTTGGGTTGGTCCTGCCCCAATCTAGAAAAATGGAGAGAGGACTACCTACAGGGGGAGTAGCGGAGGGACACAGGGTCACTGCGGGCCCCGTCCCTGTAGTAGGCCAGGATGGTGATCTCGTACTCTGTGTGCTTCCCCAGGTCAGGCAGGACAGCTGTGCTCAGGGTTCCTGGGACAGAGATCTGGAGAGATGAGAGTCTAGGTGTTCACCAGCTCATGGGGAACCTCACGCTGGGGGTCTGGATCCCAGGCCCCGGGCAGAGAGGTGTCCCCAGGATGCAGAACTGGGGTGGGCACATAGGGCCCAAGCCCCCGCTTGGCCTCAGCACCTGGGGTGGGAGGGTCTCCTCTGAACAGCCAGCCTGCCCTCCCTACCGCACCTCATGGGCCTGCCCCTCTCCCAGGGGTGTCCACTTGATCTGGTAGACCAGTACGCCCGATGAGGCTGCCGCTGCCCACACCAGCCTGACTGCATCCCCTGGCAGCTCTGTCACCGACAGCTGGCTCGGGCTGGGGGCTTTCCCTGGAAGGTGAGGCAGCAGCTGGGCTTAGAGTGCTGGCCAGGAGCCAAGAGGGACACACAGAGGAGTATCCCTGAGTCCCAGGCCACTGTACCCTCCCTTCACACCTCTCCAGCCACTTGCCCCACCTGGCTCAGCTCTGGCCCAGAGGAGATGCTCAGTGGACGTGTGTTGATTTAAATGGTCCAGTAGAGCAGGATCAGCCCATCCATCTCTCGGCCCCAGACCTGACCTCCCGATACTCACTTGTGGTCACACGGCCAGTCAGCGTGGAGGAGCCTCCCCCAAGGAAGAGGCAGGTGATACGAACAGTGTAGGTGGTAGAGGAGAAGAGGGGTCCCAGAGCAGCCCATGTAGCATTCCCAGGAGCCTCTGTCTGTAGGGGGCATGGGCAGACCCAGTGGGCACCCAGAGCCCCTCTCAGGGCAGAGATCCAGACCTGGGACCTGCAGCCACCACTACTCTGTGGCCCCAAAAATGCAGAAAATGGGGTGGACCAGAGACCCAGGAAGCCCCCCATAGACCCTGAAGTGGGGGCACCTACAGCTGCTCCACGGTGTCACTGCATGTACCTGTATTGATTCTCTACCTCATGTCCCTCCAGATCCCACTGGAGTCCCTCAGTGGCCAAGGTGGGGCTAAAGACATGAGCCCCCAGGTCAGGTGTGGGGGACAGGGCAGTCGTGGGTGCGACACGCCAAGCAGGGAGAGGCCTGGGAGACTACATGGTGGGGCTGAGGGTTCTGGGCCCCCCCACGGTCTGCACGTGCACCCTGGTCCCTCAGCAGCTCTCACCACATTTGAGCCCCAGACAGGTCCTCTCACCTGCCCTGAGTGACCACCATCACTGGAGATGTAGCTGACCCTGACCAAGCGCATGGGCCTCTGGGTGCCCTCCCAGGACACACGGGCTGAGTCGTGGCTCACGTCTGAGAAGCCCAGGTGCCTTGGTGGGGCCAGGGCAGCTGCAGAGCACATCCAGGCTTCAGGGGATGGCATGCCACCCTTGCCCCTTGCCTGAGATGAGGATGGGAGAGGACAGAGAGGTCTGGGGCTCCTACCATGGAAGCCTCTGGAACCAGAGGGGACACTCACGGGTCCTGATGTGGATGCTCCGGGCCTCGCTGGCCTCTGGCCCTCGCAGGCTCTGCACCAAGATCTGGTAGTCCCTGCCTGGTTCCAGGCCGTCCAGCAGCACCTCAGGCCGCCCTACCTGCACCTGGGGAAGGGAACATGCTGTCCCTGTGCCCAGCCCCGCCCCCAATGCCCCCCCACCTTTCTCCTCCCCTGCCCCCAGGCGCACCTCCTTCTCTTCCTCCTTGCCCCCTGGGGAGGCTGATAAGCATCGAACCAGGTACTGGGTGGCCCCGGCAGAGGACTGCCAGGCCAGGCGGAGCGTCCTGGGTGTTGCTGTCACCAGGGTCAGTGCCCGCGGTGGAGGCAGGGGTGCTGGGGAAAGGCAACTGTCAGGGGCACTTTGGGAACATGGCATGTGCATAAATCATGCCCACTGACAAGGGGGCCCTCCTCTAACCACAAAATGATTTCTCTAAGTCCAATTTTAGGTGTTCCTCGTAGGCAACATCGTGGGGCCCAGGAGTCTAAGCACTTTTCCAAACTTCACTGAGGCCAAGTTTTGGGGCTCGTGGCTGTTGGGGAGCTGGACCTCCCCACAGGTCTAAGGCCATCTGCCCCAAGGTAGGGGGGTGCAGCCTCCAGAGTCTTCAGGGGCTTCCCAAAGGCCACAGGGTATGTGGTGTGGTGCTGTTTCTCTGAATGACAGGACACAGAGCAGAGAGAGGGTGCAGGGCTGCGCAAGGGGCTGAGCAGATGGGGAGGGAAGCTGTGGTGACAGCAGCCCATCTCTGGATCACTGACAGCCCCTGCACCATCCACTGTAACTGGGTACGTTGGTGGCATGTGGCTCCTCTGTCAGTAGAACTGTTAAAGGGGCACTCCTGGCAATCCTTTGGAGGGGGCTGGAGCTGCTAATTAGTGACCTTAGCCATGTGCTGTGGCCAGGCAGGGTGGGGGCTCTGAGGACAATGTGAGCAGGGTAGCAATGGCTGAGGTGTGGCAACAGAATGAATGACTCTCCTGGTGTTCACCAGGGTAGAGGGGCCCAGGGACTGAGACTTGTAGGGATGGTTCTGACCCAGGTTTGCCGACCGCACCTCCCTGCTGGTGCCAAACCCCAAAGGGAGAGAAGGGGCCACATGCACCCCACCTACCTGTAGTCACCAGACCCTGCAGGCCCTTGCCAACCCTGTCCTTGTAGACAGGGAGCACAGAGACCAGGTACTCGGAGCTGGAGGTCAGGTTGCAAAGCTGCACAGATGATGCGGGCCCTCCGACCACCAGCTGAAACAGAACAGAACTGGGCGGCATGGGGCACCGAGGGACAGGGCACAGGGCAGGAAAACTGCTGACAGGGGTGTGGATGTCTCCCTTCCTGCAAATCAGGGTTCCCAGCCTGGAGCAGAGCAGCAGCCTGCTCTGAGGGAGCATGGGCAGAAGACAATCACTTAACCCATCCCCTGCCAGTCAAAGCCACACCCCTGGGTCCTCAGCCACCCCCGATGGCCCTGCTCACGGCTTCCGCTGAGGTGCACATGAGCAGGGCCAGCCTGTCTCGGCTCCCAAGCCCGGGGAGGCCGTGGCCGCTCCCGCCTTGACTCCAGCTCAGCCTTATCAGATTCCTGCCTGAGCCGAGGCTCGTGAGCCCCGTCAGCTGCCCTGCTCCGCGTGGCTGGGGGAGGCCAGGATCCCTCTCACCTCTTGGGGGGTGCCACCCCTGGACGACTGCCACATGATCAGATACTCAAGGGGCAGCTGGGGGGCTGGAGTCCAGGACACGTGGACGCTGGAGGAGGTGATCTGGGTCAGGACCAGGCTGCTGGGCCCCGGGAGGGGTTCCAGGGCCGGAGCATCTTCTGGAGTGACTGTGGGTGGGCAGGGTGGTGGTCAGGGCCCAAGTGGCCAGCTCTGTCTACTTCCCTGGTGGCTACTGAAGAGGGACAGGAGGATCACTCCCCCAGGCCCTCCACAACAGATGCCCCAAGTGGGGGCTCAGGCCCCTCAAGGCTGTGGTGCACCATGTGGGAGCATGGCCCCCTGGCCCTCTGCCCACAGCAGCTGGCAGGGCCTGGAAGGGCCCCACCCCCTCACCTGGGGCCCTGCTCAGGCTCCGGCCTTGCACCTTCTGGCAGATGAGGCGGCTGAGCAGGCCAGCCAGGGTGGCCAGCTGGGGGAAGTCCAGCACATTGTGCACAGTGATGTCCAGGGGCTGGGATGCCAGGACCTTCAGTTCTGCCTCATCAGCATTCTTCACACCTGCTCGGGGGCAAAGGGAGCAGGTTGCCACCTGGCTGGCTCCTCGTCCAGCTTGATGGAACTACAGAGGGGCCACATGCCTAGGACCCCAGGGGGCCCCAGTGAGAGACAGGACCAAGGCCAGGCTGAACCTCACCCTGAGCCCATGCCTGGTGGGCCCTGGAGCTGGGCAGATGGTCAGACCACATAGGTGCTGGGTGGAGTGCATATGAGTGAGAGACTAGGGGTTCCCAGGAGGACCCCCAAGTCTACAGTTTCTTCCCCATAGGACAGGGTTGAGTATCAGGCAGTGCAGAGGCATGACCTTCCTGGTGGCAGCCAGGGCAGGAGGTGGGTGGGTCACCAGGCACAGAGGTGCTGGCCAGGTGAAGGATGGGCTTGCAGGCTGCTCAGTGAACACGGCACAAAACCTAGTAGGGTGTTGGCAGTGCCCAAGTGTGCAGGTGCTGGCTCCAGTGTACACCCCAGAGCAGGGATTTACTGCCTGGGCACCACAGCAGTGGAAGCTGAGGCCCAGAGGCCAGGCCCACCCGGTTCCACAGCCATGAGGGTAAAGCCAGGGTGCAGACTCATCTGCTCTCCAGAGCCTTCTAGCTATGAGAGAACTCCAGCCCAGGCTGCGCAGGGCTCACCCACAGCGAAGACGTCAACGTCCAGGTCCTTGAGGACGCGGGCAGCAGTGTGCACATCATCCTGGGACTTGCCGTCCGTCACGAGAATCACCACTTTGGCTGCCTCTGGACGGAGACCGGCTGAAGGTTTCAGGTTCTGCCCCAGCACATGGGTCAGGGCAAGGCCTTGGGAGCAGTAGGAATAAATGGCAGGTGCTACCGGCTGTCAGTGGCTCTCGGGTGCCTCTTGGCCTTGGCTGTTCCTAGGCTCTCAGTTCATCCCCCGCCCCAGCAGTCTAACCCCACCAGGCTGAGGCACCCAGGAGCAGGAGGCTCCTCTTCTTCAGGAGGGCATTCATGGTCAGCACGGCAGCGCCCAAGTCCAGCTAGACACATGCAGGGGTGCCGCAGTAACTGTGAGGTCAGAGGGGCCACTCACTTTCAGCAAGATGTGGGAGAGAGGCCCACGTTTTTGCCAAAGACAAACAAAGAGTGCTTCTGCCCTTCATGAAGGTATTTCCCCAGCTTCTCACAAGTTTTCAGGGTGTGAGGTGGACCAACAGGGCAAGCAAGGGTTCAGGGTCCACCCAGCAGACGTGGGGCCAGGTGGTACCTGTGAACGTGTTCCCTCCCTTGTAGCGGAGGCCATGCACAGCTGCCAGCACCTCCCCACTGCTGCGGAAGGAGTTCAGGTCCCACTCGGTCTGGGGGTCTCCACTGTATTGAGTCAGGCCTGCAGGGAGGGGACTGTTGGGCTGTTTTGGGTCAGACCATGCAGGCCAGGACCCATCCTGAGGTTGCCGGCTCTGCACACAGCCTCCTGGGGTCCCCCAGGGATACAGTTTTGCAGGGCCCAGATTGGCCTGCTGGGGGCAGCCTATCCCGCAGACGAGGTTAGCAGCCCCAGTAGGAGCAGGGGGCTTGGCACAGGGAGTGGGCTGCATGACCCCACAGACCTCGGACTTCAGCCAGCAGGGAGCCTCTGCCTGGCTGTGGGCAAACCTGGAAGGCTAGGGCTTCCCTCAACTGGAAAGGCCTTGTGAGGGCTGACCCCAGGGCAGGCTGAAGGGTAGTACCCACCAACTTGGACTTTATCGGGCCCAATCTCAAAGGGTGAGATGACACTGGCCAGGAAGTTCTTGACGTGCTGGAAGTGGCCACGGCCAATACTCCAGGACCCGTCCACCAGGAAGACCATGTCAGTGGGTGTGGGGGGAGTGCAGCGGAACTCAGGGCCAGCTGGGGCAGGAGGGGGTGAGATGCTGGGTGAGGCCCCTGAGCTGCTCTTGGTCTGGCTGCAGACCCAGAACCACCTTCCCTGAGGTTGGCTGGGTCTTGAGGGGACAAGGGCTTGGAGGATTGCTGAACAGAAAATCCCATGGACACGTTGGTCAGTGCTCTCAGCCCCTCTAAACCCTCCAGAAGGAGAGCTGACGGTAGCCTTAGCTCTGGGGGCTGCTTCTGCCCTCCACTAGTGTCCACGCAGCCTGCCTCCCTGCAGCCGAGATGTCTGCATCTGCCCAGGCCCAGATGCCCATGGGTTGCTGAGGGGTGAGGGGGTCAGTCCACAGACAGCTCAGGCACAGCCACCTGAGAATGAGGCAGTGCTGCTGCTGCCCAGAGGAGGCCAGCTGGGGCTTGTCCGGAGGCCCCATAGCTCCATGGAGACAAGGAACCCCTGTGTGGTTTCCCTGACAGTTGTGCAGGGACCATGCCAGGCAGGCTGGGCCCCCGAGTCAAGCAGACTCCAGGGACAGGCCCCCAGCATAGTTGATGTGCTCCACCCCTGGGGATCAGACCACAGTCTGAAGCGGGAGGCCCAACTCTGCCCTTAGGGCCCTGGTGGGTGGAGTGTAGTCCGACAGGCCCCAAGTCACTGGAACACACAGTGGAGGCACAGGGCCCTGGACACAAGAACTCCCTTGAGAGGGGTGGTGCCAAGGGTGACAGAGCCCTTCCCTCAGCTCCAAGCCCAGGGGCAGGGGCAGCCCCTCCCTCTGAGGAACCCATCGACAGGTCAAGCCTGGAGGCAACCCTACCATCCGGCCCTGCACCATGCCACAGAGCACCCACTTACCCAGCTTCTCTCTCCTTCTAGCCGGGGCCACAGAGTGGCTCTGCCTCTCCAGGTCTGGGGGCTGTTGAGCAGGATCCTGCGCCACAGGGCCCCAGGACCAGTGCTGCTCAAGCTGCTGCTGACCCACACTGGGTATTCCTGGGGGTGGAGAGTCAGCTGCCACCTTCACCTCCCAGACCAGGGGGCTCCCGAGGGATCCGCTACCTCTGCCCCCAGTGCCTGGGTTTGAGAGAAGCTAGGAGCACGACAGACAAGCTGAAGTTAAAGCTGGAGAGTGCTCTGTCAGACATAGGGAAGAACTTCCTGGCTACATGGTAAGAAACAGGAGATGCCCCAGGTTGCTCCCTTCCTCCCCAGCAGCTCACTCTCACTCCACTTTGACACACCGAGAATGGGAGGGTCTTGGCTTGGGGTGAAGGTGACTCTGGAGTCAGAGGCCTGCTCAGGATCTGGGGCTCCCCTGTGGGAAGGGGTGGGCTCCAGAGCTGCCCCTGGTGGCCTCTGGCTGCTCTTGCCCAGGGAGTTACTCTTCAGGTCTTCAACTGCAGAGAGATGAGGGGCTGTCAGGACACCACCCTTGAGGCCGAGAGCTGAGGGCCTGCACACACACTCTTCCCAGGAGAGCACACTGTGGGCTCCACGAACCACCCTCTGACCCCGGGGCTGGGCAGAGACATCAGGAGCAGGAATCAAGACCCAGAGGCACCTCATGGAGTGAGCCAGGGTATGAACCCAGGTCCCACCTCTCAGCCCAGAACCCTGGCATCCATGTCCACCCCAGACGGGGATCCAGGGCAGGACAGTGGACTTACTCACAAACTCCCTCTGTACCAGCAGGACAGGCCCAGAGCCAGTGAGCTTGAAGATCTGCAAGGTGTATCCCTTGGAGGGGCTCAGGCCCCCCACAGTGGCCTTGGGGATCTTGGTAGTCAACATCACTTCCTGCTCCGAGTCCCCTGCAGTGGGAGTGGGAGAGCCGTTGAGACCACCAAGGTGGGTGTGCATGTGTGTGCTTAAATGCATGTGCAATTGCACACCTGTGTGCACGTGGGACAAGAAGCCTCCAGGCCGCCCCCCGGTTCCTCCCTGGAGGCCAGGGGAGAGAGGAAGGTGTGGGTGTGACAGGAGGGACTTCCTCCGGTGTGAAGCCCTCTGTGGCAGTGGAGAGAACCTGAGGAAGCCGTCCTGGAACGAATGTCATATGCCCTGCTCTGAGGCCCCTCTTCTGAGGACAGCTGCAATCAAACATGGAAAACAAAGGCGGGACCCAAGAGGACCCTGTCCCCCCTCAGAGGGCAGAGCCAGAACGCATGGCCAGGGCAGGCTGGGAGATGGCATCCAGCCTGCAGAAGCACACAGAGCCTCTGGCCCCAGTGCCAGGACGGGAGGAGGAGAAGGGGGCCACACACACCTGGGGAAGGACGCAGTGAGGACACGAGGACACCAGGCTCACTCTTGGCTGAGTGTCATGGTGGCATGAGGTGTGAGGGTATGCAGAAACAAAGGGGGCAGGTTCCCGCTGTCAGCCACTAGCCTTTATTGAACACTTGCTGTGTTCCTGGCCCCAGCCCAAGCACTTCAGGGGGATCAAATCGTGGGGGCCTCACAACCTCACCACGCCCATCTTGCAGAGGGGGATCTAAGGCAACAGGGACCGCCACAGCTACTCAGTGCAGAACATGACTTAAACCCAGGAATGCACACCCTTGACCTGTGATGGTACAGCGCCCTTAACCTCATGTGACATTTGATTGCCGTGGTAAGTGTCACAGGGCGCTGCCTATTTTGTGGAAGTGGTTTCCTGATAAGTGGGAAGATTTAACCAGTAATGTTTCCTTTCATTCTTGTCCCCTCCACCATGTCATGGTAGCGCCAGGCCCTCCAGATGACCACACCATGTTCTTGGGCTCCTAACCTCCAGGGCCATGAGCCACATAAGCTCCCATTGTCTACATATGCTGTCACAACAGAAAGGGACTGGACACAAGCCCACCAGCAGCAGTGTGCAACAGCCTACAACTGGGATGCCTGAGATTTGACATAGGTACAGAGCTACGGGGTGTGGAGGGTGCATGGGAGTGCTGCTCTGAGGCTCTTGCACCCCTGGAGAAAGGCCACAGCTGCAGTGGACATAATGGCTGAGGTTTCCCAGGTGGCCATCAGCAGGGTAAATTAACAGGTAACTTCTAGGCTGAGGGGACACCTGTCCACGTCCCACCCCTATTGACTAATCTTAACTTCACACACACACAGTCAGCAGCCATTGTTGGTGGCCCAGCACTACCGCCAAAGACTCTTGTCAGCAAATGTTCTCAGACTGTGATCTAGGGACCAACTTCCAGGCCACAGGAGACAGCATCACAGGGATGCCTCTGCAGAACAAGAACCCCGCATCTTGTTTCTTCTACAAATAAGTGTCAAGGAAAGAGCAAGAGGTGAACTATGCAGATGAGAAGTTACTTGAGACGTAGGAGCCCAACAAGATGTGTGGATTCTTAGGGGTCCCAATTTAGACAAGTCAACTGTAAAGGCTAGAAAATTAGGTTAGAAAATTCAAACAAACTAAATGTTTAACAATTCTGAAGCAGTAATACAGTGGGGTCATTTGAAGGGTAGTGGGCTGTTTTCAAGCCTGTTCTTTTACAGGACATACTGAAATTTTGAGAGACAAAATTACATGACATCTAGGATTTACTTTAAGATACCAGTGTATGGAGGGAGTTGAGGGGCGAAGCGAAGTGAAGTGACAGTGGCTGCATGTTGCTAACTGGAAGCTGAGTCTCAGAATAGGGGCTTCATTGTGCTACACTTCCTTATGAGTGTGTTCAGATTTTTCCATGAAAATATCAGCTCAGAATTCAAGAAAGGAGAATAAAATTGACAATGAGAATAACAAAAAGGAAACAAAGAGGAAGATGGTAGATTTAAACTCAAATCAATAATTTCACTAAACATAAATGGTTAAATTTTATTAATTAAAAGGCAAAAATTGTTGCACTGGATGAAGATAATGCCCTACGTATGCCACTTAGAAGAGAGGTCAAGAGTGAAAGAACTAGAAAGGATCCTTAATGTGAACACCACCTGCTGCAGCAGACTGACAGACAAAAGCAGGAATAGGGTGAAACACAGCTCCATAAGGGGCCCTTCACAGTGGACAGGTCCTGTCTGCCAGGAGATGTGTGGGTCCTGGTCATGTTGCACCAGACCAGGCCTCTGCATGTGAAACAAGACCTGTGGGGGACATGTCCACGGCCACAGTGGAGACGCAAAACGCTTCTCACTGACGAACCAGATAAATGGACACAAAATCAGTAATGACACAAGAAGCTTGGAACATGAAATAAATAGATGGGCTTAATGTGAGCACTGGAAAGTGTTACCCAGCAACTGCGAACTGCATGTACTTTCAAAGTCAAATGGGACATTAACCAAAATTGACCACACGGGGGCCATAGGACAAGGTACCTTCCAACACATTAAAATCACATCAAGCATGTCTAACCACACACAATTAAGAAATTCAGAACAAAATGTAGATAGAAAATCCCTCCTGTTTTAAAACCAAGAAACTTACTTGTAAGTACCTTATGGGTCAAATAAAATCGTCACAATAAAAATTAGTAGATATCTTAAATTGAATAATGATAATTTTACATATCAAAATGTAGCTGCAAGCTGGGCACAGTGGTACACTCATCCCAGCAGCTGAAGCCGGTGGATCCAAGTTCTAGGCTAGTCTCAGTAACTTAGTAAGACCTTGTTTCAAAATAAAAAATTAAAAGGGATAGGGTTGCAGCTCAGTGGTAGAGCACCCCTAAGTTCAACCCCTAATACTGAAAAAAAAAAAAAAACCTTTAAGCAAGATATCTGCAAATCAACTCAGCAATATAGAAATGAGGATGAAGAACACTGACCTAAGGGTTGTTGGGCTGGGTATCTTGTGGTCTGAGCCTGCACTGGCCCTGTAGGCATCATCGTGGTCCTAGCTCTATCACTAGAGTGGACACTTAGGCCAGGCACTCTGCCCTTATTCAACCCACATACTTGTTGGCATGCAGAGTCCAGGCCATTCTGAAAGCCCCTGAAGGCCCCGAGGCTCATTTTGAGGAAATAGTCCTTGCTCAGTATGTATATTCTGAGCACCTTCCGTGTGCTGTGTGCCAAGGATGCGGATGGGACACAGAGGTGTACGTGTCCTCAAGAGAGAGAGGAAAAGAACACAGAAACCATAGGGACTGCATTGGGGGTCATGGCCCACCATACAGGGGTGAGGCTCAAGAATGGAGGAGGGGAGCTGCTGGCCTGCACGAGACAGTGACCACCATGCTGACACCCCAACACAGGAAAGGAATCAAGGAGGAGAGAGGTACAGACCCCTTACCTGCCATGGGCTTCACCTGCACCAGGTAGCCCAGGCCACTCCCCACTGACTCTCTCCACTTCATTTGCAGCCGGTCCTCAGGCAGCACAGTTAGCCTTAGGTGGCCGCTCACTGCGGAGACAGGAGGGGGAGGTCAGGACTGACACCAGTGCCCAGCTGTGAGGAGAGTGAGGAGGACCTGCCTTGAGATCTGAAGGGCACTGTCCCATCTTGGGGGCTCTGGAGGGACACGGTGTACCCTGGGCATCTGAGGCCTTGTCCCCTGGGGAGCTCACAGGGAAATGCCTGCCTAGAGGGCTGAGAACCAGCCCTCCTGTGGTCCTCAGCAACAGGACTGCACTGGCAGCTTCTGTGAGAGGAAATCAAATCCTGCCCTGGGGTGCCTCTGACCCCTGAGGTTGTGCCGAGGAGGGCAGCAACCCCTTGGTGACAGAGGTGCCAGCCCCCAGGGCATTGTGGCAGCCTGGGGTTTCCCAGTTGCCAATCAGTCTCAGGAGAAGCAGCTGTGCCTGCAGACTCCCTAGAGTTGTCAAGGTCACTACCAGGTTGACTCATTCCTTGGGGGCACTCTGGGTGCAGAGTCCCCACCCAGATGTGTGTGCCATGATGGCTGCGTGTGTGCACAGTGGTGTGTGTCTGTGCATGCACACGCACGTGCAGCCTCAGCCCCATGCTAGAGAATGACTCCTGCTGGGCAAGAGGGGTGCCCATGACTGGTGGGAACAAGAGGGGCAGTGTGGGCCGGAACTGACCTCCCAGGGAACTTCTGTGCTCTAGGGAGTGAGCAGCTATTTTTGGAAACTGGGGACAGAGATGGGCCTCTTCTGGCTGCCACACTGGGAACTGGAGTGCATGGGCCAGGCAGGGGACACCCAGCAGACACAATAACCCATTCAGAACAGGAAGCAGCTGAGCTGGTCTCTAGATGGGTCCAAAGGGTCCTGGATGCCCCGGAAGCCTCCTGCTGAAAGGCAGGATGTGTGGGGATGAGGAGGGGCCTCTGAAGCACCAGCTGTGGGCAGAGCCCCACTCTTGCCCATGAAGAACCTTTTGTTCCTCCACTCTGCCTCTGACATGTTGGGGGCCTGCCCAAGCTTCCACCCTGGGAGAACCTGCACTAGACAGGGTGACGTCCCTGCCTTCACCTGAGCACATTGTCTTGGTAGAACTGCTTTGTGACTTGGCTCGAACTGACAAGGGAGGCTCCTTTCTAACTGAAATCATGGTCCCTGTCCAAGATTTATCTCTTTGGGTTATTCTGAGCAGGAGGAGCTAAGGTCAGTCCAGGTGCCTCCCCACCAGAGAGTACTGGCTGGGAAACCAGAAACCGGCAGGGCCCCAGACCAGACCTGGGTTCGAGTTGCCCCATGGCTCCATGGTGGGCATGTGGGAAGCGGGGCCAGATGTTGAGGTTGACCCAGAACCTGCAGATGCAGACAGGGACAAGGGGCCACCAAGAATGAGAACAGCAGTTTGTAGAGCCTGGACTGCCACAGAGGGTTACTTCCACCCCGCCAGGGAAGCAAGGTCCCGGCAAGAACTGAGTTACAGTGGTTCTGTTGACAAAAACTCGCCTCCAAAAACCCACTGGGCCAGGACTTTTCCCAGGGAGGCACCTCCAGCATACACCTTCCCCAGGCCCGTGTGCTGTTCCCCAGGGAGTCAACACTGAGAAGCTGACAGCAGATAGGTGGCAAGGGCCAAGTGGAGGTGTCCCTGCCCCACCCAGAGACCTCAGAGGACAGTGCAGGAGAGGCAGGGGCCCCTTATCAAGATGTGTGCTGTCTGGAAACCATGCTGAAAGGCAGTCACGACATAGCTAAGCAAAACAGGAATGTGACAGAGAATGAACAACTGCAGAGAGGAGGGAATGAAAAGAGAAACAGAAAACACAAAAGCACCCCAAGGCCGGGGGAGACTGCAGGCCACTGTGACGCTGAGGTGAGACTCACGGAAGTGAGTCCCCTCCGCCTGCCTGCTCTGCCGTCACTGCCTCTTAACTGAGCAGCCTTGACTCTGAGAACACTCGCTGGAAGGAAGCCAAGAGCTCACCACAGAGGACTTGTCCTGCAGGCGTGGGGACTGTCCCCAGGACCCCCTTACCTTGTCCCAGCCCATGTGCCAAGGTGGTACCCAGCCACAGCCAGAGGCAGATGTGGAGGCGGGCTCGGGGGCTCATGGTGCACAGCCTGTGGGAGGAGAAGCTTTGACTCTTCACCTCCACCCACCCATCAGTCCCCACTGACCACACAGCCAGAATTTGTCCTCCGTGCCTCTGTGAGCCACGCGGACAGGTCCCACAAACCCTTCTGGTGACCCAGAGGCCGGTGACCTTTGGATGCTGTTCCCTGCTGCCACCCAAAGCTGAGGCTGCACTGGGGGCCTTCCCATCCTGCTCCTGTGGATGCACACAGCTAGACGACTGAGTGACAACAGGACCTTGAACCCCCAGCTGCCCCTCGCCCCAAACTTATAGTGGCTATGGACTGCTGCTCATGGGGGTCCTCAGGCTGGGGACATCGTCTGATCATTGGACACATGGAGGGTCTCTGCCAGGCCCAGCCTCAAAGCAGAAAGGGTATCTGAGACATTAGGAGGTGAACGAGAATAGCAGCAGGTGCTTCTGGGACAGCACCTGCCAGGGCTGTGTGAATGTGGGGGGCCTGGGAACCAAAGTCAGACAGGGTACCCAGAGGGCTGACAGTTGAGAAGGCCAGGGTGACCTAGGGACTGCTACAGGGGCAGGGAGGGGCCAGGGCACAAAAACAACCTGGTCTGGGACATGCGAGCTGAGGCGACCTGTCCCCAGGGCTGGTGGACAGACCTGTGCTGGCTGGCTGGGATGAGGGCCCTGACCAGCACAGTGACTCCAGCCTTAGGGAAGAGGAAAGCACTGCTCACACATGAGGCCCCCGATTCTTTGTGCTGAGCAGAGGGCAGGTGACAGCACAGCCCACAGCCTCCATGGTGGGGCCAGGGTCCTCCTCCAAGTCCTGATTGACCCAGACCCTCCAACCCCACCCAGCTGAGCAGCAGACCACCCACTGCACACCTCTCCCAGCTTGTGCTCAGGGGTATCCCCACCAAGCAACATCCCCCCACCCCCAAGGGAAGACCCTGCCTGTGGAAAGGCTGCTAGCCACACAGCCCCATCCTGGACCTTATCCCCTTCATGGGAATGCACCAAGTCTGGGGTGCCAAGCCAGTACTGAGCAACCAACATAAGGAGACCCTGGCACCAGTGGCCTGGAGGAGAGGCAGCTGTGGGCTGGGTCCTACCTGGCCACAAAGGATCCAGCAGGACAGCCCCCAGCACTCCTAAGCCCCTGAACTCCACCTAAGTCTGAAACCTCCCCGCCCTTTCTGCTGGGTATCACCTTCCCTGTGAGAAGGGTCAGTGAGAACTCAGGATAGCCCAAGTCTCCAGGCTGCACCCTGGCCCTGCTGCCCACCTAAGAGCTCATCTCCTATCCCAATCTTCCTGAAAGGTCAAGGGCACCCTCACAGACCTGAGTGGTTCCCCTGTCCACTCAGCTGAGGACTGCAGGCAAGTCACCGACCTCCTCCTGCTGCAAGCACGGCGTCCCTCACTCCCCAGGGCCTTCTGATCCATTCTGGTCCTGCTGTGGCCAGTTAGGACAGGGCTTATGAAAGGCCCCGCCCCCAATATTCAAGCCCTGCCACCACCAGTCCCCACCCTCCTCTGTGCTGTTGCCTGGGGCATATCCAAGGAGAGATAGTGGTCCCAGCACAAAGGACCCCGGTGTACATTCAGGGAAACTACCAGGGACAGCAAGCGCTAAGCACCTTACTCCTCATTCCCTGAGGGCTTAGCCCCTGAAGAGAAGCTCACAGGTGAGGTCACTTAGAGACAAAGGCCACATGCAGCCCTGGGCACTGAACTAGTGGGTGCTGGATGTTAGGGCTCTCTGGCAGCTTATGTGAAGGGCAGAGGCTGGAACAGCTGGCAGGATGCCATCAGGGAAGAGGCCACCCAGCCTCTACTTCCTTCCCCCCTCCTATTGTGCCCCAGAACCTGAAATCCAGTGTTCCCCAGGACCCTCCACTCTGCACAGGTCTGGTGAACACTGCCCCCAGTGAAGCCCTCCTTGCACCTCTCAATGGCCCACAGTTCCCCTGCAGGCCAGCCTGTGACCAGTGCTTAAGTGGACCCCCATCCCCCACCAGACCCAACAAGAACTCAGTCTTCTGTCCTGGGCCATGTCCCTGAAGATACTCTGCGGAGTCAGGGGGAGGTTCATGTCTGTAGTCACAGCCATTGTGGGGTCCCCAAGATCTTGGGGGCTGGGGTAGGCTGCTCAACCATAGCTGCCCTCCCCCAGGAAAGGTTTGGGAGTCACACCCAGCCCCCAGCTGCCTGGCCAGTGACTGGCCCACTACGGAAGGACAACCTGCTTCCCTGATGCCTCACTGACACCGCCCATGTCTCCATGTCAGCCCAACAGCCCCAGGCCCTCAGCAGGGACTGCAGATGGCCCAACAACCTCAGGCACTTCTGGCTCACAGCAATGTGAGTTCATGTGGGGAGTCCTGTGCCTTTTCATCCCCAGACCTGCCCAGAGATCCCTCAAAGCTCCCAGTGCCCTTCAGACCTTACTAGTCAGGTGAGCTCTGGGGTCACATGCCAGAGACCCCTCTTCCTCTATCCCACCAAGGGGGGTAGGGTAACCCCAAGGGCCTGCAGGAAAAGCTCCCATGGACCCTCAACCCTCCTGCCAGCTGGTTGGAACAGGGCAGGACCAGTCCTCCTCCCAGCTGCCCCCGTTCATTCATCAAGCCAATCCTACCAGGCCATCTTCAGCTTGGTTTTTCTTCCTGCTGGGCAGCACCTGGGCCCTGCCAGCATGGGTTAGTTGGGGTTGGGGGTGACAACACAGTTGAATGGGTGTAATGAGGGGCTGCCCCGTGGCTGCTCAGAATGCCAATCTATTAGGAACTCAAGAAATGGCCTTGAGGTATCTACTAGTCAGGCTGGTGCCTAGGGTGAGAGTAGGCATCTGGGACAAACAGCACAGGCCCACGACATGGACATCTGCTGCCTGGGATGTCTGCGGCAACCTCACTGCCCCCTCTAGGACTACAGTCCATGGGGTTCCCATCCACCCACAGCCATGTAGGAAGCGACCCTTTAGGGCTCACCAGGGCCCTGCTCCCATGTGCTTTATGGAACTCCCTTTGGTGAGGGATCAGACTCAGCAAAACAGTCTGTCCTCTCCTGTGAGGGGTCTTGGTAGTGGCCTCAGTGCTTCCTAGAAGCAAGCTTAAATGGGGACCAGCTAGCAGGTGCCATCTTCCACTCCCAACAATCCCAGGGCAGATGGCCCATTTCCTAAGGAGTGCTGGTATACACTGCAGGCCCTGAACCAGGGCACTCCACCCTTCCCACCTGGGGATAGGCCTTGGGACAGGGATGCAAGCTGTGCCCAGAGCTCAGGCAGCTGAGGCAGGCTGCTCCCCCAGTGATGAGTGGTGGACACACATACATACACACACACACACACACACACACACACACACCCGGCTCAGGAAGTCCTGAGACTGGCCCTCTACAGAGCCACATATCTACCCAGCAGGGCTCTCCAAATTGAAGGCCCATCTCAGACCCAGATAACTACAAACCCTCAAGGCGGACACACCCAGGACCTGGTGGCCTTGCCAGCATTGTGACAAGCACAGCTGTGGCAGGACACAGCAGATTGCACACAAACCACACAAGAAGCAACAGGTGCATGCGCTGCTGGTAAAACTGAGGGTCAGTAGGGGTGGGGGGGTGCGAGGAGAGGCCCAGTGGCCCTCCCAGCAGGCACGCGGCAGCAACCCACGGTGGGTCTCGTCTGCAGGGCACTAGTGCCTCCAGTCCCCGAGCTTGCGATGCACTTGCTTCACAGTCCAACAGGCTCAGGGCCTGGGTGGGCTCCAGTGCGTTCAGTGAGACCTCAGTACCACTGTGCAAGGCGGGGCACACAGGAGGGAGAGCCATGGGTGCAGCCACCAGTGCAGTGATCCTCCAGGTGCCTGGGACAGGGAGGAGCTGACCATGGTGGACACAGCAAACAACAAAACATTGGCCAGCGTTGTTCCTGGGAGCAGGGTCTCCAGGGAGGCCCTGGAGCCCCACCTGCCCTCTTGCCAGCCCCCAGCAGGATCCTCACAGCAGGATCGGCAGGGACCAACCTGCAGAGCCTGCTACCCCAGCCTACTCTGCTCATTTCTGAGGCGTCCAGGGTATTCCATGATGGGAACGTTCAAGGGCTGAGGCCAGAGCCCACTGAGCCTCTGTGGAGGGCTTTTCTGGCAAATCAGGGGCTGGAAAGGGCTGACGGGATGGCCAGAGATCCCAACAATGAGCTTCAGAGCAAAGGCCACAGGAGATGTGGACCAGGCCAGGGGCTGGGCCGTAGTACAAGCTCCAGTACTGCCTTCGGCATGTCCATCTCTGAAACTCCAGGCATTTTCTTCAAGGGAAAAAAAAAAAAAAAAAGAACCAGCTCAATTCTTTAAAGGTAAAGAGCACTTCCACACAGACTGGACAGCCTGAGGGTGCTGGGCAAGGCTGTGGCCCTGGGGCCTGCCCCCAGCAGAAGCAGTGAGCCTGGCTCTCAAAGACACCTGGTCCCCAGGTCTGATGAGCCTGAGAAGCTGCCCCGTCCTGGAGTCCCAAGGGGCGCGTGCACAGTGGGCACGTGCACAGCAGGCACATGGCCTTGGACAGCGCAATCCCACACGTACACCCCCCTGTAGCACCAACAAGTCTGGCCTGAGACACTACCTTTGTGCTGTGGCTGCTGTTTCTTGGGTCAAGAGGAAGGAGGAACTAGGATGAGGGCAAAGTGCAAACACAGCAGGCGCCCTGGTGGGGCTGGGAACTGGGCTGAGGGCCCTACCAGTTCTGGTTGTCCCAGCCATCGTCTGCTGCCACAGACGGCACTGCCCTCTTGGTGGCCTTGGCCCTGCCCTCACCACCAGCACCCTCCCAGCTCTCCCATCCGTCGCTGTTGCTGTTCTTGTTCGAAGCGGAGCCCGAGCCCCACACATCCCAGCTGTCCGAGCTCCTCCGCCCTGTGGAGGCATCTGCGCAGGTCCAGCTGTCGCTGCTTGGGGATTTGGCCTTGGGGGGCTCGGTGGTCCCAAAGGTCTCCCAGAAGCTCTGGTCTATGGTGCCACTTGCGAAGGTGTCCCCACGGCTGTTTTGGTAGCTGTGGCCCTCCAGGGGTCTTTACAGAGAGAAGGAGGAACTCAACAGAGATGGCAACACCACACTCGAGCCGTTGGTGGCCCCAGGCTGCCCAGCTGGGATGACTGCTCTGTGGGCCCAGCCCAGTGCTATGCCTAGACAGGGCTGCCGGCCCCACCAAGCACTTCCTAGCCATGCTTGCTGCAGCAGCACCCACGGGGTGGGGTGGGGGGGAGTGTTGCTCTCACTGTAAAGCAGAGGGAAGTGGGCTGGGGGAGGGCCACTCTGGGGATGGGCACAGAACCCACCAGAGGACTCAGGCTCTTGCTGCCAGAGCCCACACTTTGTCAGTCACTAGAACTGGAGGCTATTTACCAAACAGTGAATCAGGGAAGGGACAGAAGTGGCTTCTGCCCATGAGCAGGGGCACTGGGAATCAGGATGCACCGAGATCAGAGCCCTGTGGACTCAGCGCCTAGCAGAGGCAGGTTCCTAGGCTCAGGATGCTAACTGCCTCTCAGAAAGCCCATGAGAAGTGGGGCCGGGGCAGTGCCGTGAGACACAGGATGCTGGGTGGGGTCATGGCATACCTACCTGTCAGAGGGGTCTTCTGCCTTCCCAGAAAAGAGGGTGGTGACGTCTCGCCACCCCTTACTGCCAACTCCCTGGACCTGGAAGACAGAGAGGAAGGCTAGCCAGGGCCCTTCTCTGCATAGCACAGTGGCTCCAGGGTTCTCCGACACAAATGCAAATGTGCACTACTGGGAAGACCTGACAGAGTTCAGAAGTAAGGGTGCCACGCACCCATGCTACGCACACAGCAACACACAGTGCCCAGGCCCCACGCAGAACCTGCTGCTGGCTGGCTGCCTTTCTGCAGAACTGGGGACTGAACCCAGAGGTGCGTTTCCACTTGACTGCATCCCTAGCTCTTTTTATTTATTTTCTAGACAGGGTCTTTCTAATTGCCAGCTGGCCCTGAACTTGCCATCCTCCTGCCTCAGCCTCCTGAATCACCGGGAATGCAGGCAGGCACTACGTGTCAGCATCCCCTACCTTCCTCACGGTTCACCCTAAGCCAGCTGTTTGCTGTTGGAGATGGGACCTTGTGCGGACAGTGGAAAGCCATGGCCTTCACGAGCTCACAGTCCACACTTGGGAGGAGGAAGGAGACGTGAGTGAAAGCTGCTGGCTAGCTCAGCCTTAGTCATGGTGGAAGGAAGGTCCCCAGGGCTTCCCCAGCCCAGGGCCCCCAGGCTGGGCACCAAGACTGCACATACACCCCACGCAGCCTCTATGGAAGTTATGGGGCTGGCCATAGCTCGAGGCAGGCATCGGCACTTACCAAGGGACAGGCCAGAGGCAGCAACAGGAAGGGGAAAGCAATAGGTCAGTGGCGGCCAAATGCCATCGGTCAAGCTGGTTCCATGTTCCGCAAGCCCTCGGGCACCACAAAACAATGGCCAGCGCTTCACGGTTCCCTGAGGCACAATGCATCAGGCCTCTTCCCCCACTGTGGGCCCATGCTAGGGCCTGGAACATGGAGACTGGCTTCACCATGCCCACATACCAGGTGGGACTGCCCTACCTTGGATGCCAACTGAGAGAGCCCACTGGACACATCATCAAAACCCTTCCCTCTCTCACCTGCACAGACCAAAAGGCATCATAAGGGGGGGACAGAAACTTAGGGGGGGTGCAGGTTGCCAGTGTGAGACCCCTGGATCTGTCACGGGGATGACTATCATATACAGTCCCACAAAGGAGACGACCCCAACACCTCGGCTTCCTGGGACCATATCAGTACAAGGACTCCTCAGAGGGGTGTCTCCTGCCCCAGCTGCTCTGTGGGCTGCTGGCCACACCCTTACACTCAAGCCTGAGGACAGGCTCGTCCACGTCTGTGGCTGGGCTACTGGGGTGTGAGGCAGACAAGAGTTGGGCTCAGGACTGACTGAGCTGAGGGGGGTCCCAGGGAGAGATGGAGGAGGCTGCTGGGTCAGAGGAACAGGTGGAAGCAGGGCCTCACAGGTTCAGGAACAGGTGGTCTGCAGCCCCCAGCACATGCCCACATCCCCTAGCAACAGAGGGTCTGGTGGGATAATAAGCACTTGGCCTTTGGTGCTGCTCTACCTTCTCCTGCGCAGGCTTGAGGACGTTCTCGTTCAGGCTGTGGCCTAGCTCCGAAGCCTGTGGAAAAGGACATAACGTGAGCCCGGCAGCACTTGCCATGGCACGTGGCTAACACACAGCCCAACAAAGTTCTGCTAACAGAAAGGAAGGCAGCCAGATGAGGGTACCCATGGGGCAGGATTACAGCAGACAGGAGACACTGCTGAGGAAGGGAGTTCCCTAGGCCCCAGCCTGCTTGCCCATGGGAACAACTTCCTCGAGCCCATACTCTTCGTCATGAGGACAGTGGGCTGGCAGTGGCAGGCTGCCTGCGGGGCCCTGCCTCCTCTCCTAGGAGCAGACTTGGAGACACACTAGGAAGGGAGGTTCAGGCAGAAGCAGAGGAGAGCCACTGAGGAAGGACAGGCCTCTAGGAGACAGAGCTGCCTGGGGTGTGGCATGATTTCCCCCTTCTGGCAAGGCCAGAAAAAGCAGAGACAAAAGACATTAAGGGGAATGACTACACACACAGAAGGGTCCTCCCTAGCAGAGTGAGATTTCTGGGATGGTTTGGGTGGAGCTAATTGAACCTAATGAAAACCACAACAAGCCTCATTTCCTGGGACTCCCCCAGGTCCATCCAGCGCACAGGATCTGGCCCTGGGGGGGAAGCTGTGGACTGACTCCAGCCCAGGGAGGTAGAAGCGCAGCATACAGGGGGACAGTGCAGGGGACAAACGCGGGCAGAGTGAAGCAGGTTCCCAGCAGATGTGGGTGGCATGCACCAGCAGATGTGGGGCTTTACCGGCTCAGGCTGCTGCTTGTAGCCCCAAAACTTGACCCAGACGGCACGGAGACAGGAGAGCAGGAAGAGAGCGGATGGGAGGAGCAGTGTTTAGCACACCAGGCAGTAGAGGGCACACCCTCGGCTGAACTGTTCTGATGGTGGCCCTGGGAGGGTGTCCCCAGGCCTCGAACCAGCCTGTGCCAGGGTCTTGATGGACACTTTTCTGCTCCAACTCACCACATTCCAGAATTCAGGAGTGAGACTCAGAAGCCTGACACAGGCTCTGGGACAAAGTGAGGACACGATCCTGGTGGGCACAGCTAAGGGTGTGCAGCAAGAACCCCTCTGAGGAGGAAGTGCCCACAGGCAGCGAGTGCTGCAGGCCAGAGGGGCCTCCTGGGAACTGGACTCCTGGTGATCGCCAAAGGGCAGACCCTAAAATCCTGCCCAAAGCACAGCGGAGGACAGCCCTGAGCACCTTGTGGCTTGCTGGGGCCACGCCAGGTGATGAAGATAAAAGAAATGAGGGGTAAGCTCCCCCATGGGCTGCATTGCTAAGCCCTGGGCCAGCAACCTGAGGGACAGCCACACACTGGGCAGTCCCTGGCAGAGGCAGCCTCTGGTCCCCAGCTGAACTGTGCAGACACTGAGGTGACCCCACTGATGACGTGAGGCCCTCTGAGCCACAATCCCCGGGACCCAGGCACAGGGCCAGAAAGCTTCCAGACTGTACATGTGATGGCACAGTCTCCCATCAGAGTGTTTTAAACCTCAAAACTCTTTACCTTTTGACTTGCTTGGGATCCAAATTTTGTAGCCTGAAAGGAAAAACAAAGACAGGTCTTCTGAGTCAACAGTCTGAACCCTAACCATCATGCCTCAGCTCCTGATGGCTACCTAGACTGCCAGCACTGACCCAGCAGCAGCTCCGAGGTACCCAAAAGCGCTGCAGAGAGGCCAGCCCCTCATGTTCCTGGGCCACGCCAGGCTGGGCGAGCCACAAGGTGGCTCCATCCTCCCAACACAGAAGCCAGGTCAGCAGCCAACCAAACTGTCTTTTATGGGCCTTCCCACTACCTTAGCCCCATCCGCCCTGATGGAGGGTCAGCTCGGGACCCAGCACGTATAGGCCAGCACCCCAACTGCTGCCACTTGAGGAAATCAGTGGAGACCCCAGCAGGAGCCAGCAACTGCCACGTGGCAAAGCAACAGTGAGCCAATCCAGAGGCTCCAGTTGTGAATGCTGCTGGCCTGTCTGCTCTGGATCAGTGGGCAAAGCCACCTTTGTCCCTGTTCCTCTCGGAGCCATGGCTATCTGGGCAGCCCCATGCCCAGAGCCCCTGTACCTGTCCAGTTCAGGCTGCTCCTTCCTCAGCACTGACCAGGGCATTGTGGGGCCTGGCATGCTTCCCACACAGTACTGTTGTCTTGCCCAAGTCCCCAGCTTTTCCCCTGATTTCAAGCAGAGGCGAGAGGGAGACCCTAACCTATCCAGTATGACTCTGAAGACTGGGAGGCATAATCTGGGGTACAGGCACCCATGACCTACTCGCTGGGACAGAGTGGAGCCTGGGGACCACAAGGGCAAGTTCACTTCTGCAGGCAGCTGGTCCCTGCCAAGGAGACACCTGCCACTACAGTAAGGACTCCCAGGCAATCTGCAGTTGCCACGGCCCAGGCTCTCAGCTGAGGCCCAGTGCATGGTTAGAGGTCCCAGGAGCCTATCTCCCGGGGCTCCAGGCCAGTGGTGGCCAGCATGCATCCTGAGGTGACTTACACCCTCTTTAGCCGCAGAAGCAAACCTGCTGGCTCCCGTGGTAAAACTGCTCCAGCCCTGAGAAAAACAAACAACAAAAAAACATGTCAGGTTCAGAGCCTGTGCACAGCACACTGACCATCCAGCAAGGGTTTCTGCAGAGAAGGACTCATGGAAGGCACCTCAAACACCTCTGCAATCCCTACTCTGGGGAGAAAATGAGGTGCCTGCTTCCATGGCACCACTGTCCCAGCTGCAGTGCTCAGCACCCAGCACACATCACAAGTGGTCACCATGAAAGGACTCAGGAACTAGCCTGCCACGGGGCAGGGCCCCCAAGCCCCATGTGCTCAGTTCATGCCGGTTACTCTGCTTGCTCCCTCTGCCTCCTGTAGAGGAGCAGACGGGGGTGGGCAGAGGTCACAGGCCTCCATGTAAGTCAAGGCTATTTTCTCCTAAGCCTTCCAAGCTAAATCAAAGCTCTTTACAAAAAAACATGCCATCAAATCACAGCTACAGGCTGGGGACGTAGCTCAGTGACTGAGCACGAGGACCCCGATTCAACCCCCAGAACTTGAAAAAAACAAAAACACCAGCTTACCCTGCTCCAGGTGGAAAGCAGGCAAAGACCTCCACACCTGAGACAGCTGCATTCGGCTGTCTTCCCAGGGAGACATCAGCAGAGGGGAAACCAGATGACAAAGTGACATACTACAGGGGTATGTCTTTGTAAACACCCACAACGGGCTTCAGGCTAAAATCTACTATTCCTCCCCAGAAAGCACTAGTAGCCACTGCAGGGGAGAAGGACCTCAGTGCCAGTGCCCAGACAGGCCACCTGCCAGGTCTGACTCAGACCTCTGAAGCTGGGCTCTGGAGACCCAGCAGTGGTGCTCCTTGGAGGGGTAGATACAGCTTGCAAGAACTTCTGAGTGAGAAATCCATTTGTTTTTTAAAGAAACGTGCATGATTCAAAAGCAGACAGCACAGAGCACAGCCTGCCACCTGTGCCCGTCAGTGGTGACCCCGGCACACACCAGACAACAGATTCTTGGTTTTAACCCTTCTCACACAGGGCACCCGCCCTACCGGCACCTTACTTATTTAATTAATGGACTGTAACGATGTGGTCTGTCATCTTTTCCCAGGCAGTGTCCAGGAATGGATGCACCACCTGCCACAGAACAGCCCTCTCTGGCTAGACCCCTGAGGCATTAGTATTAAAATCGCAGACCAGTGTGTAATGAAAAAAAAATTTTTTTAAAAAACTAGTTTCCTTGGAAAATGAATGGTGAAGTATCCTTCCAAAGTATCCTTCCAAAACTAGCAGCAAGCCCAGGATGCTGTGCACTGAATATCTGGCCTGGAACTCCTGGGCCATGAAAGCAGGACCACACACTAGGGGGCTGAGCACTGCCACCCAGGTTGCCAACACCCACGCAGCCTCGAGACTATCAGCCCAGGAACCTCACCTCCTGGCCAACCCACACAACACAGGTGGCCAGCACAGGGCTCAGGGTCTTCCCTGGAGCGAGGACAGCTATGGAGGTTCTTCAAAGGAATGTACCTTGAAATAGATGTGTTGTTGCCAGATGTGTTTGGGATCTGCATAGTTTAAGCCATGTTTTTATAAAAGAGTACTTTGCTGAAGGTGCAGGAGAAGGGTCTCCAATCAGATGAAACAAAGAGCAGGTCATCCCAGGCCCGCCCACACTGCCAGGGCCACCCTGCCTGTGGCAGGTGCTCTGCAGGGCTGGGACCCTCACCGAGTACAAGGATGACATAGCATGGTTGAGGAAATCATCTTCCTTCTTCTGAGGCGGCACTGTGTTCCCGAACCCCACGTAGCGGTTCTCCCGAGCCCTGAGGGTGAAGCACAGACAGGCAGCAGCTGCTGGCACGGCTCCTGCTGCTCCTGGATAGCGGAGACCTCAGGCCCTTGTAGGGTGTGCACTCCCATACAGGACAGGCTGTGCCTCGCAGCAACAGGCACACCAGCCACAGCCTTCACAAGCCCTCCTGCCACATCAGCTGAGGGTCCCCAGCAAGACCCCAAACCCAATACCAGGGTCATAGGAAGAAGAATCAAAACAACAATCTGATAGCTCAGGGAACAAAAATTCATTCACATATCAGGCAGATTCCAAGGGAAAAAAAAGAGATCGTTTTCTTCTAAATATTAGGTTTTCTCTATCCTCATGATCCCTGATTCAAACCTGGGCTGACCAGGGCTTGCCACAATAAGACCCTGCAACACAGATGCTCCAACCCTACACAGGCCTAGCCCACCCCAAAGGAAGCAGCCCTAACCCTTCAGACTCAGCCCTCAAGAGGTGGCCTACTAAGATGCCCTAGCCTAAGAGGTCTTACCCTGGACAGGAGCTGAGGTCATCATTCAGCCAATCTTCAAAAGCCTTATCTGCAGAGGCTGCCACGTTCTGTGGCTGACCAGAGGGTCTGAAATAGAGTGAAAAGTTGGTGAGGGTTGGGTGCAGTGGCACACGCCTGTAATCCCAGTGGCTTGGGAGGCTGAGGCAGGAGGATCACAAGTTCAAAGCCAGCTTCAGCAAAAGCGAGGCACTAAGCAACTCAGTGAGACCCTGTTTCTAAATAAAATACAAAATAGTGCTGGGGATGTGGCTCAGTGGCCAAGTGCCCCTGAGTTCAATCCCAGGTATGGCACCCCCTGCAAGAGTCAGTATGGCCAGCGCTGAATGAAGTGGCATGCGGAGGCCTGCAGTGTCGGGGTTGCTCCAGCAACACCAGCTGGAACCACCTAGTCATGTGAGAAGGGCCTTCACACCTGGAGTCAGGCCAAAAGTGGCCTGTGCTGGCTGGCAAGGGCAGGGAGGGTCCAGGGCCAGGCAACAAACTGCAGCTGTCGGGGTGCTAGGACCTCTGCCTAGGTTCTGCAGGGAGCAGCCTCCGTGGCCCAGCCACCCACATCCTCCTCCTCCACACAGGACGCTCCTGTAGTGGGATGTGCCATCCTGTAATGGCCTGTGCTATCAGGACCCCTCCTCCAGTGGACAGAATTGTCCACACCCCCAGGAGGCCACTGCTCATGTGGCCACACAAGACCCCATGGAAGAGAATGCAACCTACTGGAGACAGGGGAGAGGCTCTTTTATCTGCAGGCTTATCTTTACCAAATGAATTTCTTCTAGAAGCTTGTGCTACTTTGGCAATTTTAAAAAGATGCATTTCACACTGACTTTTAGGAAGAGCTGGCAGTTGGAGCCATTTCCATGACAGAGGTAAGCAAGGTTCTGTGGGGATCCTGCATAATGGCTAAGATCATAGTGGAGCTAAGAACAGCGCTGAGGCCTGACTGGCAGGCCAGAGTAGTTCCTACCGGTGGGCAGTGGATGATAGCATCTTGGGCTGAGGCGGGGTCCAGTTCTGGGCAGGTGATGACTCCAGAGACCACTCTCTGCCTTCAGCCAGCGTGGCCACCTAATGAGGGGACATGAGATGTCAGAGTATGTATGTGCCCACTCAAGCATGTCCAACCTCACAGGCCTGTGCTACTGCAGACACTCTACAGACCCTCCAAGGTTTCAGCAGCTGTGGCTCAGGCTGGTATGCTACGTGTGAGCACCAAGGCCAGGCCTCATGGTGTGATGAGCTACAGTGCTGCAGAGCCCGGATCTCATGGCTCCCACTTTTGGCCCCAAAAGACAAGTTCTATGGCTTCTCTCGGAGGCACTGTAGCCAGCACACACTTGAAGAATTACGCTCATGGTTCCCTTTCTCCTGTTAATTACCGTCTGCTTCCCTTGGGACAGCAGAGCCTGCTCTGGATGGGGTGAGGGCCACAAGTCCTCACCTACACCTGGACTGTGCTTGGCCTCAACGGGTACGTTCTCTACTGATGGGAGAAGCCCAACTCCGGAGTCAATGGAGCCACACTCCAGCTGCCACGAACGGAGGCACGGCCCAGACAGCAGGGCGCATGCAAGCCGGGCCTGCCGGTACCTGATCCCTGAAGAGCGCAGCAGCTCTGCTGCTGTACTTGTCCTGCAGGGACCAGCAGGGGTCATAATCCTCCTGTGACTCCAGGAACTCCCGGAACTTGGCATTCCCACCAGCCTTCATCTTCTCCAGCTCGATGTCCTTCCACTTGTCCATAGTAACAGAGCGCACAAAGCTAAAAACCAGATGCCGGTCTGATCACCAACTACCCAAGGATATGGGATCCTCCCCACCCAAGGTCAGGCTGTGAACTGGACAAGGGTGCTTCCTGAAGCAAGACAGAAGCCAGAAGAAGCTACACAGAGGCCAGGCGGCCAGCACTGGACAAGCTGGCATACCTGGTAGGGTGGGGAGAAGCTCCCAAGCTTCCTAGGCAGGCAGCACTCTGGGTGACAGGCACCCACCCCAACATGAACACTAAATTAGGTGCAGGATCTGTGGAGGCTGAGTGGAACTGACCTGAGGTGCACCCCAAGCCCACGGTGTCTCCCCGAGCACTCCAGGCAGATCCAGATGCCATAGGTCACGCTGACCCACTGAGGGTTGAATGCGCCGCACTCAAAACAAACCTGAAAGGGGGCCATGTGCAACTCACCAGGCAGCTTAGGGCAGGGCTGGGGACCCCCAAAGACCCGCTCCCAAGGGGGCACAAAGGAGGGCAGGTAAATGTGCAAGGCCTGCATGAGACAGCTAGTCACTGTAAGCCCAACAGCGCTGCTCCAGGTGGCCAGAGGTCACAGGGTCAGAACGAAGCTGAAGGCAGCTGAAAACTGATGTAAGGGGAAGATCCTCCCACATGATAAAGATTCAGATGGAGGCAAAGCAGAATGTCCTGAGCACAACTTGGGCAATGTGGCAGGAGCCCCGAGCCCCACTCCCCACAGCCCTGCTGACGGTGAGCACCAGGAACAGCCAGCGGCTCCTCATGATGCTGGTCAGCTTCACCAACAGCCCGCTGTTTCAAGAAGGGCACAACCACAGCCACAAGTGACCCAGGAGGGCCACTAGCCACCCAAAGTGCTGCCAACAGCATATACTCACGTTGTTCTCATCTTGTGCCCTGACTTCTTTAAGAACTTTCCTGGTTCTTGGGCTGGCCATGATGCTGCAGAGGAGGGAAACAAACCTCAGACTTACACATGGGTCGCTGTTACTTCACAGACAAGAAATAACTGCTCAAATGCTACAGTTCAGGCTAACTCCACAAGAACTCTTGCTGAGCGGCTGTGAAGGGGGGCGTAACACTGCCTCTGCTGGCCATGCAGGGCCATCCACTGAAGGATACTCTTCACACTCTGTGATGCCTCCAGGCCACCACCGCAGTGGTTAGGGACACTGAGATCATTGGTGCTGTCCACTCTGCTTAACTACTGTGTAACACTCAGACTTCACAGTCTATTAAAAAACAGTCCTCGGAGACTGGGGATGTAGCTCAGTTGGTAGAGTGCTTGCCTCAGATGCCCAAGGCCCTGGGTTCAATCCCCAGCACCGCAAAAAAAAAAAAAAAGTCCTCTTTTAATGATGAACTCATAGCCAAGGGTGGCCTTCACAAAACACACAGAAGGGTTGCTAACCCTGATTTCCCTACTTGAAAGAGCCATACAACAGGGAGCCCAGGTGCTCAGCACATCGCAATTCAGCATGGAGAGATTCCCAGCCTGTGACAATGGGCAAAAGGGTGTCCCTGACTGATACTGTGAAAAGGCCAGCCTGCTGGAAGGTGTGTGGGTAGGTCCTCTGTGGAGCCATCCTGAGAGATGGAGGTGACAGATGGTATAGTCTCAGCAGGACAAAGACAATGGCCCATGGAGTATCAAACCTATCACATGACTCACAGGGACACTGATGGGGACAGTAGTAAGGTTCAGGCTGAAGAGAAAAGCTACTTCTTTCTTTACAAATCTACTAGCTTTAGCAAAGTTCAACTTCAACTGGTGGCCCATTTAACTCATGACCAGGAATACCAAAGCTGGAGGAAGGCAGTGGTGCCAACCACAGCACGAGATGCAAATTACCCCACTGGTCCTGCACACGCCAGAAATAGGAGGCCTGGAGGCAAGACCTGGGCCTCAGGCCTTCCCTCCCTGCCAGCCTCAACTGAGAGTGCCATCGCTCTCATCCACCTCTCAAACGAACCTGTGCTGCTCCCTCTAACTCGCAGGACACCACATGTGGAAAACACAGGGCACGCTGTATATGACAGAGGCCACACACAGGCTCACAGCTGACATTTTCAGTGCCATCTACTTCCCACTCTGCCGCTGCACTGAAAGTGTTGGCTTGGACTGGTATTCCTATTAACGGTTTAATGTGAGATACAGCTTAAAAAAAAGCAGCAACTGGTATGACCCCTGTTCCATACTTCATTTTAATCTCAAGTTTGCAGAAGTAAGGCCTTCATGGAGGGGATTCTGCCCAAAACACCACCCTCTGAGTGGATCAGCTCCTGCTTCCGAATACTCATGAGGACCACTTTTAAGCAATTTGAAGTTAGAAAATACTGCTTTCTATAGTTGATTGAAATGAAACCAAAAGTTCACTCTAGGCTCCCTCCCACTCAGAATTCTGTGCCAGGGTGGTGTCTGATTGTGAAGTGACTGCCTGAATGCATTCATCATGCTAAGCACGGATTCATCCGCAGCACTGAGGCAGACAAAGGGAAACCCACATCTGGAGAGACCCCCTGGTGGGTTTCAGCTGTAAAGCCCTTTGGATACAATCTTCTAATGACCACATGCAGGCTCCACGTGGGGCTGGTGTACAGGGGCAACAGATGTGCAGACCCACACAGATGTGCTCTCAACCTGCCTCTTTCCACTGCACTGTGGGCCCTCAGGGGCTCTTGACTTGCTCAACAGAGGCAAACCGAAGTCAGGACTGGTGAGGCTGCTTCAAATTTCTAACTTAGGAAGAAGGGCATTCGTAGGACTATCAGAGAGAGAAGGTAGAGACATGACCAGTTTTGGGTATGAAGGCCTTATTTCTCTAACTGAAATGCTTACTTTAATAACATGGAAACAAATACCTCCTACTTTCAAAAGCATGCTCATGGTTTATGTTGAAAAACAGTCCAAGTCTTAACACATGAAACTAAAATGATAAAAATGTCCCTCTGTCTCTAAGTGGACTAACTTTTCAGTAAATGCTCAGGTAAATAAGGGCACTTTCCGAGTCCTCTAAGCCACTTGCCAGGACATTCAAGCCTTGAATTGAGGCACCCTTATCCTCTGAGACCAAAAGAGACACACATGTAAAGACATTGCTTAGTCTCAAGGCTGTGGAATGGGTGACAAGGAGACAGGAATCTTTCTCAGTGGAGCCATCCTGAGAGATGGAGGAGACAGATGGTACAGCCTAGGTCAGAGGCACCCTAAGAATACAGGTTAAGAGTAACAGCCCTTCTTGGTAAAGCGCACGTACTGCTGCCCTGACCTCGGCAGCGATACGTCCCAGAAACACCCCCGCCCCAGTTCTGTCAGGGTCCCGTTTGGCGCTGTCAAAGGCCCTGCAGGCGTATCGGGCCCGCAGACGCAGTTATTTCCCAGAATCGGTGGCCTGTGGTTAAGCCACGCAGTTCCTCCAGACCCAGGGAGACCCAGCCAGGCTTCAGGGCCAGTCCTTGCGTCTTTCCCTCCAGCCCCCACGCAGCGTGCACGTCAGAGACCGAGAAAAATGGCAAAGCAGGCGGAGGCTGGGAGGCTGGCCTTCCTGAGGCCGAGGCTGGAGGGCGCGCGAAAGGGCTCGAGGAGCCCGGGGGTCTGCGCCGGGCCCGGCGGCAGGGCGGAGCTGGGGAAGAGGGCGCTCCGGGGGCGCGGGTCCGGGTCCGGATGCGGGAAGCACGGCGCGGCGGGACCCGGGTGCACAGTCGCGCGCTTACCTGGTGAGGCGGGCAGGACCCGGATCGGGCCGGGGTCCGGCGGGGTCGCGCCCGGCCGCGGTGCCGCACAGCCGCGCTGGTCGCCCACCGGCCGCCAGCAGCTTCCGGCTACGTCGTGCTTCGCTAGGCCTCGCGGGAGACCGATGGGGCGGGACTTCCGTCTCCGAGCCGGAGCCCGGAAGCGCGGCCGCGCAGTCGCCATGGGGACGGCCTTTCTTCTGGTGCGCGTGGGCGTGGCTTTCGGCCCCGCGCGGCGCGGTCTCGGTGCTTGGGTGGGTGCCCTAGCTGGTGTTAGAACCAGGAGGCTAGGCCGGACGCCGACGCCACGGATCGTTTCGGCCATTGTTCAGGACAGGGTTCCACCTACGGGAACGGACCCACTTTCCTGGTGGAAAATGAGCCTCTGAACGAAGGAAGGGCCTGGGCTTGTATGGGTCATCCTGGGCGGTGGTGGAGGGGGCATGTCAGTTTTCTTGGGCACCCAGGAATTTGGGCTTCCTTCTATCAATCAGTGGAGGAGTCAGTTGGAGTGCTTAGGAGTTTGAGCTCTGAGGTCAGGAGTCTGTGCTCCGCATCTGGAGAGGATTCGCTCCGAGGGCGGTCAGTGCCCCTCAGAGGCTGTCGCCTGGTGTGATGAGACCCCTCCTTCCTGCCTGCAGTTAGCGCCAGGAAAACATTTGCTTTCTGAAAGCTGTCAGTACATGGCTTTCCTTTTTACTCCCCTTTTCTCAGGCCACATTATTTTGTGCATTTTCCATTTTCCCTATCAGTTGGGCGGCCTGGGGAGCCGGCAGGTGGGCACGGACACAGCTGGAGGCTGGACAACCCAGCAGGGAGGCTGCCTGGAGATAGAGGCTCCCTGCAGCTGCAGGCAGTAAGAACATCAGACCCCTATGTGAACATAGCTCCTGCAAGCAGTCACTGTGGTGGTCTCTGGAGGTCGATTCCAAGGGATTGGGGGTTTCATCTTTACTCCATGCCCTTCTGTATATTCTACATATCCTTCATTGCTCTTTGTAGCCGTCAAAGTGACCAAGAGTGAACATCGTTATTGAGGTCTAATCTGCAAGTAGTGCTGCGTACAGTCCGGAGAAATAGAAAGTCTGGTGGTTCACGTTCAGAAAATAATGTTCAGCCTTAATTGGATCCAACTGTAGCCTTTCCCCTTTGCTTGCCCAATTCTAAAACTAGCAAATTGGGTAGATTGTACCACTGAGCACCTCCAATCAGGGCACAGGGCCTGGCTGTGTTAGGTATATTAGTGGGTGGACTGCCAGTGGGGTGCGCTTGCAGTATGGGTGTGCTGAGGGCAGGCGCCTACCCAGGGTTATCCTGCAGTGTCCACATTGCACAACTGCCAAGGCCGTAACAAGGCGCTGGAGAGCTACTACAGTCCTGTGGCTGGTGGCAGAATTGCATGGGTAAGGTGCCAGGCTGCTCCCACTTCAGGGGCCCAGGTTAGCCTTGCCACTGTAGTGAACCTCCAGGAAAGCTGCAGTCTGGAAGCTTCTGAAGGTCCCCAGCCACACTCCTTCCTGGTTAGAGCATCTTCCTGCTGCAGGAATGTACCTGCTCTCCAGAAGTGCCACTGCCTGTATCAGCCAAGCTCTTGGCCCCCGTTTGGACCTGCATTCATGCAGGCCGGCCTCCCTCCAGCCTTCCTTCCTTCCTTCTTCCTTTCAGCGTGCTGGAATTGTGTGAGTGCTTCTATGATACAAACCTCTAGGTGTGGAAATTCTGGGTGAATTATGGAATTGCGGTAGATTCCAACAAATTGTTCCCACAGCATTGTACCAAATGTCCTGGTGTGGGAAAGCCTGTGTCTTACAGCCTCTTCTGCTGCATGCTGCCAGGATGAGTCACCACCGTGGGTGGATTTTCACTCCCTCGAGGTGCGTTGGTCATTTTATACCCCATCCCCGTAGAAGCCTGTTTTTCTCTGCCTGCTTTTTTCTTTGTTCATCATCTTCCACCACCAGGTCTTCCCTGAACAGTTTCACCTGCCTGTGGAGAGAAGCGCCTCCAGAGGCTGCCGCATTCCAGCCCCTGACCTGAGCGGAGAGGGGCCTGGCTGACTGCAGCCCATATGAGCCCTGCCACTGCCTGCATGTTGTGCAGGGAGGACCAGGGCCCAGGACAGAAGGAAATGGAAGACGTGGAGGGTGCAGCCCCGCTGACCGGAGGCCATGCTTCACTATTCAAGCACAGCTGTCCCTAGACAATCCTGCGCTACCCTTGCATCCAAGCCCCCAGGGAGCCTGCAGCTGTGCTGAATTACATTTGGTCACAGTGGCTAAGAATGTGTTGAGGCTAGGCCAGCTCCTCAGATGGCAGGCCTGGTGGCTCAGGTCCCAGCCATGTCAGCAAGGACTCGCGAACTCCCCTGCCTTAGCCCCTCCATGCCTTAGCCCCTCCATGCCTATCTGAGATGGGAATTTTTCTTGAGTCCAGTTGTTAGGACAGAAACCCAACCCCAAACTGCTTAAACAACCAAGGGAATTTATGACTTAGGTGATGAAAAGTTGAGAGGAAAGTTGGATTTCAGGTGAGACTTGATCCAGTACCTCAACAATATTTCTGAGAACAAAGCTTCTCTCTGTTTCTGTGGTCTGTAGTCTCATCTTCACCCTAAGGTCCTAAAATGCTTCCAGCAGCTCCTGAGGCTGCAAGCGCTATCATTCACATTCAGCAGAAAGTGGCCGAGTACAAGCATCCACGCTGGGCCCCAGTGTCACACTGAGTGGACCAGCTAGGGCCACGTGTTCACTTCTAAACAACGGAATGGAAGGTGACATCTAGGCTCTAAGTTCCAGGACTGGAGCCTGGTTGGAGTGACATTCCTCAGACCAGAAGGATCCCAAAAGAAGTCTGAGTTGTGGGGAGCTGCAGGGCAAGACATGGGGAAGCAAGCACTCATAGACATGCACTGAGCGGCTGCCTCTGTTCCTGGGGATCAGGCAGGCCTTCCCTGGCTGGCAAGGGTGGTGTTGGCTCTCCGTGTCCCCAGGGCTAGCAAGGCCAGTAGCTGGCATGGGGCAACTGCTGGTGACTGGTGGGTAGTGCTTTGTCCAACTCTGCTGTGCTCTGCAGGTGCCTAGGGTTCCAACACCCATCCCCTGGTACTGCCACCTGGGAAGGGTGGGGGCAGGCAACAGGTGAGGCAGCCGGAGCGTGGCCCAGAGCTGGGGAGGGAAAGGGTTAGATTCTGCCTGTGGACTCCCAGGAGGCTGGGGGAACTGAGGACAAGCTGGGGGCAGAGTTCAGCTTTGAACACACCCAAATTGAGGCGCCCAAGGACATGTGAGAGGACAACAGGCCATTGATGCCTGGGGCTGGATTGCAGAAGAGGGACAGGGCTGAGCGAGATCTGTGTGGGAGTAGAGGCCCTGCAGGGCAAGACCCTGGAAGGGATCCTGAGACTAGTGCCCCCAGGGAGATGGAGAGGGGCGGCTCTGCTGCCTCCACAACATAAATGGCTTTCTGTTCTTTATAAATAACCCAGTCTCAGACATTCTGTCATAGCAGCACAGATGGACCAAGACACTTCCGAACATTAGCTTCATGTGGCGTGGGAATCATGTTAGAGCCTCCATCAGAAGACATGGAGAGAAAGGGAATGAGCAGAGAGGAATAGCTGCTTCCCGCGGAGAAGGCACACAGTGGCCTCCAGCCTGGCTTTCCATCTCTGAATTTTTCTGCCTTGTTTGATGAATTGAATGCTTAAGAAACTTCAGCCTCGCCTGCCCCTGCCTTGCTTTTCTCTTTGCTGGTTGCTGAGATTAAAGATGTGGTCCTAAACAGGAGCTTCCAGGACATCCTGGTGGCTCTGCCCCCGGGCTCTGGTTGGTCTCTGGAACTCTGGTGGACCTGCCTGGACCTCAGGAGGTCTCCTCCCTCCGGCTGTCTGCCCCCTCTGCTGCGGCTTTCTTCAGGGAGTCTGGGCTCCTTGAGGGCCACAGAGCTCTGGGATTTCAAGACTGGTCCATACCACGCTAGTGAGGCAAGGGAAGTGCCTGTCACTGTCTGCATTCATGGCTTGGCCACTGGTGGGGGCTCCACTTCGCAGGATGGACTCGGCCCTGGCCCCCTCCCCAGGCACTCTGTGGTCAGCAGCACCTGCTTAGGTTCACCTTGAACACCAGCCCAGGCAGCAGGGTGTGGCTGGGGCTGGCCTCACTGCAAGAGTTTATAATTTCCCCTTTTAAAAAATACAATAAGAAGACTCCAAAGAAAATGGAGAGAGTGCAAGAAGCCACCTCCCAGGCTCCTTGGCAGCCACCTGCACTACTTTCCCGGGAGCCCCCTCCTCAAGTGCCCTGCCCTGGTGCAGCTGTACCACTGCCTGCACCCCTGCTGCCAGGCCAGGGACTCACAAGGAGGGAAGCCTCACCAGGAAGTCCCTGTGAGTCACTTGACCCCCTCGAGCTGCCAGGGTCCCAGTATACCCTGCTTACTGCCCTGGCCACATACTCTCACCCAGGCAAAGCCCTGCCCCAGGCTTGAGGCTGATGGAGGGGCCTCAGCCTGGGGCCACTGCAGAGGATGACATTCTTCCTTGTGACAAGTGGGTAGCACCACAAAGAGAGGTCTGGACAAGAAGTCCTGGAGAATGCCTTAGGTACACACTGTAGGTAAAGTGGATGGACACGCCATCTGGCCCAGCTTTCCCTAAGACACCAGGCTGATAACTGCAGCAGGGTGGCGAGGTGCTAGAGGCCAGACCACTCTGGAAGTCCATGGAAAGGACCAGACAGGGGGGATGAGGGAGTCAGTGCCCTCAGGTGGGGACAAGCTGGGAAGTGGATTGGGTGGGCTAAACCCTAGGCAGGTGCTGCCCTGCTGGCAAGAAGAGGCAGAGGCCTGGAGAGGGGCAGAGTGTGGGGGGAGGCAGTGGCCAGGGTCCAGGAGCAATTCTGGGCTGAACACCATGCAGGGGAAATCCTTGCTTTATTTATCCACAGAAATACCCTCACAGTGACAGTGAAGTCACCGAGCCCACGCAGGCTCCTCCATCCTGGCTGGTCAGTGGTAGTCACAGCATCCTCAGCAGACCTGTTGCATGGCCTGCGACAGGTGAGGTGGGTGGGTGCTCACTGGGCAGGCCATCTGGCCCACCACAGCATCTGGAGGGAAGAGACAGAGGCTTGGATGAATCCAAGTCCTGTCGGGCTTGTCCCCGGAGCCAGGGGCCTCAGAACCCAGCAGTGCCCTGACTTGCCACTTTGTTCTACCAGAAAGTTGGGGCCTGAGGGTCCCTCAGCACATGCAGCAAGGATCAGAAACCCCCATATGCCCCACTTAAGTGAGGCTCGTGTACATCCCCCCTGTGTTTCTACTTGGCCCGGCCGGTCAGGGCCTTGAGCTCTGGCAGGCCCGTCCAGCCCTCCCTGCTTCCCCGAAGCTGTCCCCCTTCGTCTGTCTGGTGAGCCCTGGGTGCCATCACCTGCCCCAGCCCTACTGTTTTGTTAGGAAGGATTCAGAACAAGAGTTGAGGAACCAAAATAAGGTTGGTGTCAAGGGAGGGAGAGGGCAAGAAAAGCTGCATGAGGCTGTCCCCGGGCTGCTGCTGCTTGGCTGCAGGAGGGCAGGAGGGAACTTGGCCACTTGGACTCACCTGCTCAGGACAGGAAGGTGCGCACACAGCTGCGGATGGCTGCCCTGCAGATGGGACACTGCTGCAGGCTGGGGGCGCACTCTGCACAGACGAGGTGGCCGCAGGGCACAAAGACCACGGACACGGCTCTGTCCAGGCACACCTTGCACCTCCTCTCCTCCCGCAGCCGCTGCAGCTGCTCCTGCATGTCGCCGGCTCCTGGAGGCTCAGAACCCACCCCCAGCACCTTCAGGACTGGCTCCCTGGGGGACTGTGACAGGAGCCCCACCCTCTATGGCTGACTGCAGTCTGGCTGTCTGGGCCTGAGACCAGGAGGCCTGGGATGGACCAGCCCCACAGGAACCCTCTGCCCCCCACCCCCCGCCCAGCCCCCACCCCAGAGGACCCGGGTTGCACCTGGCTCCCTGGCACCTTCAGGCTGGGCCTCTCTTCTGGGCATGAGCAGCTCAGAGCCCTCATGGACAGGAGCTGTGGGCAGTTCGGAATGGGCTTGAGGCCTAGCCCCCAAGGGGTCCAGTAGCCAAAGAGGTCCAGTTCTGATCACGAGAGCAGAAAGCCTGACTCTGGAGTGACCTTGCTGCTCTCAAGAGTGATGAGCCTGAGGCCAGAGACTTTCTGAAAGGGCCACCAAGAATTTGGGCGCTTTGCCTGTCCAGCCCCTTAGTGAGGTGGAGGCAGGCAGTGTCCAGAGGGATAAGCAAGGACAGGGACAGGAGGGGAAGATAGTGTCCAGAGGGCTGGAGGTACCTCTGGCCCTCGCCACTTGGTCCCCATTTTCTTCCTGGAGCAGGTTGGCCACTAGCTGTGATGAGGATATGCTGGTAGACACATCTGGGCACTGGCTCCTCTCTGACCACTCCTGGCCACCCCTGGCATCTGCAAGGCAGAGAGCAGGTGGGGCTAGGGCCTCAGGGTCCTGGAGAAAGGCCAGTGGTCTCCGACTCCACTTGGCCAACGCCTAGGTGGGATCTGGGTTTGGATGAGGCGCAGTGAAGGGTCACTCTTAGGCTGGGGAGTTCCCAGAGGGCACTCCTGTCAGAGGGGAGGACCGTGAACTCATCACCACGATCGCCATGGACAGAGCACTCTGGTGCACCATGCAGTGCACCATGCAGTGCACCAGAGCATCCCATGGACCCAAAGAGGCTAAGGCTGTCCTCATGTCACAGCTCAGAGCACTGAGGCTCAGACAAAGCTACTTGCCTGTGACCAGAGTTGGCCAGTAGAAGGGACAGGGTCTGGAGACCCTCACACCCCTGCCCCATGGGCACCTGGGCTTGGCCAATGCCTTCTGCTCCATGGTGGCAAGGGGAAGCCATGGCCTCACCTAGAGCCCTGGACACACCTGTCCGGCAGGGTAGGGACACCTTTAGCCTTGCCACACCACAGGCTGTGGGTGCTGGGAGCAGCTTGGGCCACAGGTCAGCTCTCACCTGAGGGGGCGGCGTCTTCTGGTTCCTCCCACTGGTCCTGTAGGAGAACACCCGTGCCCTGAGGGAGCGGGGCAGGGGATCCCCACCCACCCAGCCCCAGGGAGAGACTGAATTTACCCAGGAGCCGAGCAGCGAGCAGTAGGCCTCCTGGACACTGCGGACAAAGCCCCTTCCTTTTGACCGGAGCAGGAATTGGCACCTGAAGTAAGTTTGAGCCAGGTCAGGGACAGACTGTTGGAGCGCCACTGTCAAGCCTAACCCGAGGAGCCTCTTGGGGCCAGGGTTGTGCTTTCTGTTCCTGACAATCCCACCGTGCTCCAGAGCAGGCAGTCGGCATTCTTGCCAGTCGGGCACTTGCTGGGACGTCAGCCTGGGAGACAGGCTCGGAGGAGCACAAGTGGGAGAATTTCTGCCCCAGTAGCCCTTCCAGAGAGGCTCTACTGTGAAAAATCGGATGTCGGCCACCCTTGCGGGGTGCCCATGCCCTGGGACTGGAGGAGATGAGGAGCTGGGGCCAGTCCTTGTCTTGGCTGGACAGAGTTCGTTGAGGTCCTTCCCACCCTGACCCTGCCATCAGGCCTGGACTCCCCAGAGGGTGTTACCTGGGGAACCACTTGGCGTGCTCCGTCCAGGGGTCGTCGCCGCACTCCCAGCTCTGCAGACCCCCGTAGCAGTAGAAGCACCTTACTTTGTCCTGCTGGCCTGGGTGTTGGAGAAATGCTGGCCCCAGCCCTGGCACTTGGCCAGGATCCCTCCCACCTGGTAACCCTGGGGGTCCCCTCGGGGCTGTGAAACTTAGGTGGGGCTTGGGGCCCCCAGTGGTCTTTCCTGCCAGGAAGTTAACAAGAAGGGGCAGGGTGCCCCAGGGCTCTACTGTTATTTCATGGGTACCTCTAGAGGACAATGCCTGGGGCGACTGTCAGGAGGCCAGAGCATTCAGGAAAGAGTTGAGCTGGCATCCACATTGTTCCAGAGGGACTGGCTGGGGGACGGCCCACAGTAGCTGTGGCCTGGGAGAGTCAGGGAACCCCAGCAGCCAGGAAAGATTCCCAGTGGCGGGAGGAAGGGGGTCAGCCCCTTAAATGCCAGTCTGGTGCCAGTCTTGGTTTTAGGGGCCCATGTGTATCTCGCCTACCCCTGCTGGCCACTCCCCCCACTATGAGCAGATGAGCCCTGTGGCATCCGCTGCAGAGACCACATGGGGCTTCTGCAGGTAAATCCAACAAATGTCGCCCCAGGGCCTCCCCCACCTCTACCTGCTGACCTCAGGAGGCCCCTTCTCAGGTGATTGTACCAACACTGATCCTCCCCGCCCAGGGTGCAACTCCCTTAAGTCAGTTTGGCCTCTTACTGGACAGCACCCAGGTAAGGAAGGACCCAGGTCCTGCAACCCCACCTGTGACAATGACCCTGGCTGGGCCCCCACTAACCAAGCCCCCGTGGAGCCTGCTGGCTGTCCTCATCTGGGGAGGGGCAGACCTGAGGCTGAACCTGAGCTGAGCACTCAGCTGCAGTTTCAGGCGAGGTGCAGCTGGAGCCACAGAGGTGGCCCATGCCTGGAGGAAAACTGGCACTTTGGGAAACTTTTGTGGAGTTGGGCCCTGGTGCCGGCCTGCGGAAATCTCCCACAAGCTGAGAGGCAGCCAGGATGAGCACTACCTGCGTGGCCACTTCCCGATTTTGTCCCCTAAGCCTCTATTGCCCTGGAATAAAGGGTACGGGCCACTCTTATTGCCAAGGTGCTAGAGCTCTGGAGCAGTGGGGACCTCTGAGGAGCAGGGTGCCTGCAGGCCTACCTGGCCAGGTGTGGCCCCAGCCAGGCGGCCTCACAGTCTTTGATGCTGCAGGGCAGAGCAAGCCCTCCCCCAGTACCTCAGGTTCTTACTGACTCCTGGGAGGGGCAGGTGTGAGGAGGGAGCCATGGAAGGGGTGCAGTCACCCCCTTGGTGGGCCAGCACTCCCTGTGGGGGTGGGCAGAGCCCTGGGGCTGGCAGAGACCCGCAGCAGGAAGACCCCCAGGACTCACCTGTGTGGAAGAAGCCAGCAGCAGCCAGTGCCTCAGGCTGAACCCCAGCAGTAGGTGGCCAGTCATAGAAAGAGGCCAGCCGCAGTTCCTCAGAGCCCATCCCAGGGAAGGCAGGCCCTGTGGGCAAGCTGGCCCCAACCTCCCCTGCCTCTTCCTCCTCTGTCAGGGTGCGCAACTGGCCCAGGATCTGCCCATCCACGTGGTCCTGGCCCGGGACACAACCACAGAGACAGCGGAGTCTGTGACGCTCCCACCTGGGGCCGCAGCCAGCTGCCCAGGGTCCTGGCTCTGGGCCACAGCAAGGGCACTTGGCCCTGCCCTTGGGCCCCATGGAGAGAACTCCAGATTTGCCCAGGTCTGCAGCACGCAGCCACTCCTAAAATGTATCCAGTAACCGCCTTGCCTCCTAACCCTGGGCCCTCCCTACCCCACACTGATGGCAGAGGGGACAAATACAGTCCTGCCACCAGTTCCCCAGAGCTGCTGCTTTCTAGAGGGGCCAGGGCGGCAGCCTGGTCACATGCTCTTTGCAGCTGGGTATGTCACGGGGCCTTGGCAGGGGATATGACAGGACGGCAGAGTGCCACAGATCCCACTCCACTCATGGGGGTAGTGGCCTCTCTTGTAACAAGGGGGAGGGGACAGCACAGGGAACCCCTTCCCTGGCTTCCTCTAGAAGGCTGGCACTGTCCCCCAAGATTGGGGGCTGGGGACGGGGGACATCGGGCAGTGGGTACTGCTGTCAGGTCCGGGGCCTGGGTGCCAAGTACAGCCTTTGGAAGCAGATCCTGGGCCCAGGTGAGGACACGGGAACTTTGCTGTGGAACAGGGTTTCCATCCTGGCTGAAGTCAGGGCTCTGTGCTCTGTCCCCAGACGCAACAGTGAGGGAGTGGGTTTGAGCTCTGCTGCTAACGTAGACCCCAAACCTCTGTGTCTTTGCACAACATCAGAGCTTACTGAGTAACAATAAATCCACAGGCTACACCACTTTGATGGGAGCAGTGCCCTGAATACTCATGAGAAAACTGATGTGACTCCATTAAAAAAAAAAAAAAATTAAACCAGCCTCTACCTCAAGGCCTGTCCAAAGGGAGGAGGGTAACCCTTGTCCTTGGAAAAACCCACAGAGGGTTCCTAGGCACTAGCCACCCTGCTGAGTTGTTTGTCTGTAAATAACAGGAGAGATCTGTGGCGCAGGGTGTCCCTGACTCGTTTAAGCTAGTTCCTGGAAACACCAAAGAACGTGTGAGGCCTAATGCCTGACTGTGAGGACCCATAGCAACCCCCTAGCAACCCCCAATCAGCATGAGACAGGGAAAATACCTGGGATGCCAGGTGACCCCCCAGTAGTCTCAGTGATTGATAACACGTTAGGAAACCATGTAGTGTAGCACGTGCACCCCTCACAGATTAAACCAATCACTTCAAATGAATCCACCTCCTGTACTGACCAATCACCCCTACCCAACTTGTTCCCGCCAATGAATGTACTAATCAATGCTAAGAGCTGTTGTTTGATTTTCCCCTCGGTATGGAATGATTTGCTGTGTGATGCTTAGAGTATCCCCCCAAACCTATAAAATCTCACTGAGCAAAGGACCGGGACTCACTCCTCTGAACCGCTGCGTCGGGAACGGATGTGAGTCCAGGCTGGAGCTGGCAATAAACACTCTTGTGTGCTTGCTTTGGATTCAGCTCCTGGTGGTCTTTTGGGGTCCCCCAAATCCGGCATTACACTCACAGGTCACCTGGTTGTCAATCTGGACAAACACAAGTTCTTGTATTCTAATCTCACCTTCCAACATCTGTAACACTCATGATTTCTTCGTTTTTTTTTTTCTTTTTTCTTTTTTGGTATCAGATATTGAACCAAAGGGTACCTAACCACTGAGACACATCCGCAGCCCTTTTTATTTTATATTCAGGATTTTCCTAAGTTGCTTAGGGCCTCACTAAGTTTCTGAGGCTGGCCTTGAACTTGGGATCCTCCTGCCTCAGCCTCCTGAGGCACACAATTGCAGGCATGGCCACTGCACCTGACTTACTTTCTAATGCCTGTAACATGTAACAATCACACACACACTCAATTGTAGAAAGACGAAGAAAGGGTTTTAAGGCAGCCACAGGGGTCAGGAGGCTGAACTAAGAGCAAAGGCAGATAAATTACCAGCACAAGAACTTGTTCAGGGCACAGAAGTGGCAAAGCACGGGAACTTATGCTAGGCCAAGGTTCAGACATCAGTCACCGTTCCAGAGTGTCAGCCTGAGAGGCCAGCTTAGAGTCGGCCCTGCATGGCTGTCACAGGCAGGAGAAACCACATTCTGCTTAAGCCTGAGGACAGAAATTCAGAGGGTTGTTGCTGTGGCAATGTTCCTGGGCAAGACTAGGGATGAGTGACCAGGAGACAGAATTAGGGTAGCGCTGTGTTCAGTCACGGCAATGCTCCTCCTTTAAGGGCCCTGAATGAGGGTATTCCTGGGGGTCTATATCAATTGGCGGTCTCCTGTGTTATAGGCTGGTGGGCCTGGGTTTTCAAACATCAGTTTGATGTGTCCATGCATCTGTTGACTTTGATTAATCTGGCAAGTTCACAGGTGGTCATTCCTACTATGCAAGTAATTCATCTTTTGTGCCTTGTGGTTGCGACAGGCAGATGATGGTAGTATACATATACAATCAAGGTGTGGATATATTCCACCTCGGTGCTCAAATCAAAATGGGGTATCTTATGGCAAATTAGTGCTTAACAAATTAGAAACAAAGGGTTAGACCCAGCCTACGATCACTGTTGAATACACTGGAGTCACTCAGGGCAGGCACAGCCTGAGAGATGCTATCCTACACACCATGGAGTCACTAGGGCAGGCGCAGCCTGAGGACTGCTGTTCTACACACCATGGAGTCACTAGGGCAGGCGCAGCCTGAGAGATGCTGTTCTACACACCATGGAGTCACCAGGGCAGGTGCAGCCTGAGGACTGCTGTTCCATACATGATGGAGTCACTCAGGGCAGGCACAACCAGAAGACAGCTGTCCTACACACCATGGAGTCACCCAGGGAAGGTGCAGCCTGAGCACTGCTGTTCCAGACACCATGGAGTCACTAGGGCAGGCACAGCCTGAGGACTGCTGTTCTACACACCATGGAGTCACTAGGGCAGGCACAGCCTGAGTACTGCTGTCCTACACAA